GGTGATAAAAATGCATATATGGGTATGATCTCTGTTCTCATGTGCTCCCCTGTTTCTTTTTTCTTTGGAACTTCTGCAGAATCCCTCATAGTATTTTTTACATTTATTTTTAGCAGTTCTATCAGAAAACTGTAACAGATTTAAAAATAAGGGAGGAATTATGACTTGTAATTTTACAATCCTTTTAGTCTGTGAATTGAAATAAAACTAGATCTATTTTTCAGTTAAAGTGTTTCCAAGGAACAGATGATCTGGGCACAGTATTGGTGTTCAATTTCTTGCACTCCCTTTGAACTGTTTTGAATCAGTATCTGGATATGATGATTCAGTGAGACTATTAACAAGGTGTCCCAGGCAAATTCCTGTCCTATTTGTTGTCTTGTGTCTGAGAAAATGATTTCTGCTATGTTATGTAGTAATCTATTTTTCATTTACTGTTCTGTACGAGAGTACTGATACACCATCAAAATGAGTGTTTACTTCTTAATGCCCGCATTTAGGCTGTAGTGAGATGAAGCGTGCCTGGCACACAAGGTTAATATAAAGGGATCTGCAGTGTAGCATTCTATTATTTGTGAGGTGAAAGTTGCTAATATTTAGTTGTTATATCGGTGTAACGTGGGATTTACACTGCTGTAGTTGACCAACACTTCGTATTTCCCATGTGTACGTTGTTGGGATATTGGAGTTATGCTGGTGTCTACAGAGGAGACTAATTATACTAGCATAGCAATGGGAGTTTACAAAATAATTTTCCTGGCTTATCTAAATGGCCCTAATGTTACACAGACAGGGGATATCATTTCTTTGTTACTTTTAGAGGAAAAGGAAATAAAGATAATAGCTCTCCATAACTAAACAGTAAGAACATCTTGATCAGTATTTTCAACTAATGATTTGTAAAATTATTTTTTTTTTTTCTTAGAAGATACAGCAGGGACTTCTGATGGTTAAGTGTCTCTGTCAAAGATAAGTTTCAGTTAACATTTCCTTAAGGAGAAGTATTCTTTTGGGAGAAAAACCTTTTCTAGCTTTTAGTAACTGTGTTACTAAACGTATATGTGAAGGAGGTCCATTGAAAATATTAATGATATACGTAGAGAAAGGATGTTGAAATGCATTATAGCTCCAGTGGTGTCCGTAAATCACATCATTCATTACTGGGAAAAGTTCCAGTCTGTCAGAAATGATAACATTTCGATTGTTATGTTTCAATTTTTAACGCAGCATTTTAGGAACACTGAGAAATAAATACAAATAATTCGGGAAACCTTTCCACTGAATAGGGTGGGCTGAAGTCTTGAAATGGAGAAGTACATACAGGTAAGTAACTGAATTCAGAGTAGCTATGGCCCCAAATGACTTGCATAATCTAAATTTTAGCTTCAATTCAGAATATTTTATATTCTAGCTAGCAAACATTCAGATTATTTTTTTAAAAATTCACACTACTTAGCGTTACTCAAACTCTAGCATTTCTCCACTTAAAAGGAGGCAGGGACATTTTCAAATTGAAGAAATGAAGGCTATGGTTGTACTTTTTTTTACATTGCCTCCTTCCAGGATCTCACAAGGAAGTAAAGCAAGTGCCATTCACAAGATCCTGCCATAGTTACTGTGCAAAACTAGGACTTTTGGACTTTTTTTTTTCCCCTGCCTCTTGTCTGTTTCAACTGTGAATGAGCCCTAAGTGCAAAGTGCTCATGAGTGTTCCAGGTATGGTATTCCGTGCCCCACCCTTTTACAATCTCTTCTGCATATAAGGGAGGCTGGTTTGGGGAATTCTTGGCATCCTTATGTCAGATTATGGTATCATTGTTATCTCCTTCTCACCAGTGATGGTCAAAACTGATCGCATATCCTCAAGCTGTTTTCTGGTCTGAGAAGAGAACAGCTTTTGATTTGGGAACTGCTCTGTCAGCTCCTTTGCTTCACGCTGTTTGATCTCTGTTCAGCTTCTCAAAGCAGGTGGTCAGAGCTCAGTTTTTTGCTCCTGTAAAGCAGAGTTTGTAACTCCTACTCCCTAAATAAGGTAAGTGTACGTTGCATTTTTTTTAACGCAGCAGCAATTTGAATATAAGTAAACTGATTGGTTTTGGTTTTGCTTTTTAGTGTTATTAATGTTTCTTGGGAGTCATGAGATGAAGAAACATTCTCCTTTTCCAAAGAGAGGTGAAATACTCATGTAATCATTGGTCTTCATCAACTGAGGCTTAAGGTAAAATACCAAATGTTGGCAGATTCCTAGCATCTGAAGTATCAGGAGACTGGCTGTGTTGGGAAGGTCCCAGGGGCAACACTGGAAGAAAGGTTTCTATGGTGTGTTTTTCTCTTTATACCAATACTTCCAAGAGTTGGTCATCTTGGACTTTCCTTATTAGGAGATCAGACTTTGCCTGGTGGGTATCCAGCGTTATCTGGGAGGCTACTTTATTTCTCTGCAGGTAGACCACATTCACCACTGTTTCAGAAATTTCTTGTCACAGTCAGTCTTTACTGCTTGGGGCCAGTACAGTCAGGGCCTGTGCTATGACTGTGCAGTATGTGTCTGGCCTCAAGATTTGCTACCTGTTCCTTATATCTTGCAAGGAAAATACATCTTATTATCCATGTCACCAGGATGGAAAGAATTTGAGGCCATTTGCCTTACTTTTGTGTAACCCTGTTTTGAAAAGGTTTGTTAGTTGTACTGTGAGCTGCCAACAGTATCTGTGTCCTGTGGAGTGCCGCCTGTCTGGACAGCACAGCTTGACATGGCTGCATTCCTCAGAGTGACACAGGGTGGGGGAGGCAGAAACCAAATAAATGCATGTGCCTGAAGCCTTTCGATGCTCTCACTACCATTTGTAGTTCATACAGAAGTCCATTTCATAGCATGGTCACCAGCTAAGTTTCTGAAACTCCAAAACAGTAAAAAAAAATGTATTTTATTGTAGGATAGGCTAGCAGCTCTCAGGGATCCAGCCTGAGAGAATGTCTGTGGTACCCCCATTGGAGTTTTGCATTAGTGGTGACACTAGTGGCTGTAACTTATTCTCACAATGTTGGTAGATACAATATGGAATCCGGTAGTGAAAATTATTCAAGTAATTAGTATGCCAAATGAGATCTCTTTATTTCAGTGTTCATGCTGAACATTGCTATTGTCTTGAATAAAATTACTGCTTCTTTGTAAGGGGTAAAAAAAGCAGGGAGAGGTGAAGTTAAGTCCCCGGGGATGAAAAATATTTCAGTGAGTCTATTACATCTGAAAAGTTTCTTAAGTTTTCAGTAGATCGCTAAATGAAAAAATATCCTTTATTAAGTCATCCATACAAGGGCAGTAAAGTTAAACCATTTATAAATTCTGGATGCATAGAAACATAGAGGAGTATGCAGCTGAAATCACAGCATAACCATACCTTTAACTTTGGCTTTGTTTATGTTTTAATACTGTGGGTGTTCATTGGGGTTTTTTGTTTGTTTGTTTTTTTTTTTAAGATGAAGGATTTTGAAAGAGTAGATTAATGTTTCTCACTAGAAAGTATCTATTGCTGCTTTCTGCTTTAAAAAAATACTGTAAATCTAGCTTACCAGAAAAGCCCTACAGTATTTATACACAGGCTTCCGGGCAGCAGCGAGCCTCCCATCAGTGCCCTGCACACCTCATAACAACTGCTGCCTCTCCACAAAGTGCACAGCTCCTCCTTTGTGTTGAAAAGAGATGTGAGACATTAGATACAGCCTAACCATTAGTTTTTAATATTCCAGTGACATGGGCAAGACCCCCAGGTTGTGCTGGCGGGCTGGGGGGCCGCAGGCACAGGGGACCCCACTGCCATCGCCATCTTCCAGAGCCAGCTCAGGCTTTGTGCGGCCTTCTGGTGCCCTTGCCACTGGCTGAAAACGCACACTCGTGTCCTGGATAACTTCTCAGGTTAGCCAATTCATCTTTTCTTGATGTTTCTTTTCTCCCCTGAAGGGGTCATTGTTGTTAGCATTGGAATGTCAGTAGTACCAAAGCAAACTGGCATAGTCAATGAATCTCTTAATGAAGTACAGCCTGGTTTACTGATCTCTGAATTCACATGTGCCTGCCCTTGGCCTGACCTCTCCTTGAAGCTTCATTTTGGGAGTCTCCTCTCGGGTCAGCAGGGCCATCGCAGCAGGAGCTCTTGCTGTATCTGCCCAGTGTTGCCGTTTGTCCTTTGAAAACTGAAGTCGCCCCAGTCAGTGATTGGGACAGCCATTTCAGAGTTTTGACTCGAATCACTTGTTTAAATGAAAACTGAATCTTTGTTATTTTGTGGCCTTGTTTTGAGAGTGGGTTTTTTTTCTTCCTAATGATGTGAAACTCTTCAAATGTAGTTGAAGAACTGTTGTTTCTACTCTGTTGTGTGAACACTCAGCCCAGTTAACTGCCCATCAGTTCATTGTCTTTCGGTTTTATTTAACGGTCTGACAGTTAACCAGTGATCTTTTCGTTTTGCTGATGAAAACCTCCCTCTGTAAGTGTGTCTCCGACCCATTTGTGTAACTGCTCTGCCCTCACAGCCCTGCTGGCCTCCGGCCGCTGTGAATGAGGCCCGCGGGCCCCGCGCTCCTGCCAGGCGGGCGCGGGCAGGCGGGCGCGGGCAGGGCCCGCACCTCTCCCCGTTCCTTCCTCCAGCCGGCAGTTCGCGCCGCTCCGGGCCGGGGCCGGGGGCCGGATCGGGACCGGGATGGGGGCGGGGGGGGGGGGGGGGTGGGCGGCAGGGCGGGGCCGCTACCGCTGGGCATGGCGGGAGGGGAAGCCTGTGGCGCGGCGGCGGGTGGGACGCGCCTGCGCGCAGCGAGGAGGACGCGGACGGGGCGGGCCCTGTCCCGCCGGCCAATGAGAGGGCGCGGCGGCGGGCGGGGGGGCGGGGCCCGGCGCTGGGCCGTTTGGATTCGAACGCGGGTCGCGAGGCCGAGGGGCGGTGGCGGCGGTGGCGCAGGCGCAGTGCGGGCAGGGGCGGCGCGGCGCTGCCCCCTAGCGCCGGGGCGCGGGATGCCGGGCGAGGAGGAGGAGGAGGCCGAGGCGGGGGCCGGGGGGGGGGCCCGCTCCGCCGCCCCCTCCCCGCCGGGCGAGGACGGGGACACCCGGCAGCGCTACGAGGAGCTCTGCAGCAGCCTCAACATGGACGAGCGCGCTCGTTCCGAGGCCTGGCTCAGCTACCAGAGCATGAAGCGCAACTACACGCTGGAGGTGAGGGGCGGGGGTGGGGGCTGGGGGGTGTGGTGGCCGCGCTGAGGCGGTTGGGCAGCGCGGCGGGACGGAGAGGGTTAAGCGGCGGGGAGGGAAGGGGACGGCCCTGGGGGCATGGCGGTCGCTCCTCCCGGCGCTGAGGCGCGGCCCAGCCGGGGCACGTTCCCCGCTCCCGGCCTGGCCTGGCCTGGCCCGGCCCGGCCCGCTCGAGGGTCCCGCCGCGGCCCTCAGGCCCGGCCCGGCCCCTCATCGCGCAGAGAGAGCATTGGAAATGAAAAAATAATAATAATCCCCAGTCATAGCGGTGAACAGGAGTTAAAAATAAAAGCGGTCGTATCGCTGGAGCCTTCTTACTTTAGGCTGGCAAACGTAATACAGTGAACGCTTATCAGTAGCTGTTCAGTTGACCAGGGAGATAATTATTTCAGCCCTATTAGAATAAATAACGAAGCCTCGCGGATGGTTCAAGGCGTGCAGGTTTTGTAACACCGTCCTTTAAAAGGGTGGCATGAAGTGCCGCGCCGGCTTTCGTCGGGAGATGCCTTTTAACCCGGCGGCTTTTCGAAAATAAAGGTGGCGCTTAGGAGAAAAGCGCGTCAGCCCGGGCTGCGCGGGGCCGGGGGTCTCTCACTCCCGCCGCCCTCAGCAGCGGGCTGGGAACCTCGGACAGAAAACTCGTGTTGTACCGGCGGCGTGTGCTCCTCTGGCCCCGTGATGCCACATCGCCCACGAAACCCGCGGCATCGAATGCAGCGTTCTGTGCACCTCTTACTTTTTACTGTCTTTTTCCCGATTAAACGTTATTTTTTAATCGAAGAAGGAGAATAAGATTTTGAAGGTTTTCGTTGGAATTAATTTCTGTCTTTAGGTACCAGGTTGAGTAATTGTTCTGCTGTATAATACAGAGAAAAATGGAAACTAGATTTTTATGTTCTCACTGTCTGTCCAGGACAGATGAATGTTCTGATAGCAAGGAACTGTACTTTTTACATACATATATTTTTTTTTAACATCACGGCAGTACAAGATGTTATTATAGGAGAACAACACCGCTAAAGATATACTGCTAAACTTTAGGTCAAGTGTGAAATTTATAAAGATAACTAGTAACTATGTAATTTGACACAGTTCAGTGTTAAGTATCTGCTTGGCACCTGTTTTTTTTTTTTTTTTTTCTAGTTAAAAAAACACAAAGTAGCTCAACAGAACTTTGAAACAAGGAATCAACTTTGTCACTGGTTGAACTTCATTCAGTTGGGTCACAGTTCTGTCCTTCCTGATGCTGTGTGCACATGTATGTTTTAATTTTCAGTGAACTCTTTTAGATGCCTGATGTTTTAATTCACAGGGAAATGATCTGCACTGGCTAGCGTGTGCCTTGTATGTGGCTTGCAGAAAAGCAGTTCCAACTGTGAGCAGAGGGACAGCTGAGGGAAATTATGTGTCTTTAACCAGAATTTTGCGCTGTTCAGAGCAAAGGTAACTTTTTGCTAATTTTTAAACACTTACAAAATCTCCAAAACTGCTTATCAGCTTGTGAAATTTAGAAATTGAGAACAAAGGCTAAATATCTTGCTTTTTTCCTGCTTTTATGTCACTGGAATCTTTCTGTTGCAGCTCATTACCACAGAAGTAGGACAGCACCATTTGGTCATTACTGTGTTGTTGAAACACAGATTTTCAAAATCAGAGATTGATTTCCTTCTCTCAAAGGAGAAGGAAACCAGTCTCTAAAGAATGGTCTGGTTTTGAAGGGTGTGCAGAGTGTGAACTTCTCATGTGAGAATCCATTTTTAATTGGTTGTGAAAATATTCACACAATTTATCTTCCTTTTCTTTGTAAGAAGACTTCGCTTTTCACATATTATTGTTTTATGAAACTTAAGTTTTGTCAGAATTGGATATTCAAATTTGCATCAAATGTTTGTCTGTAAAGCAATTAAGAGAAACTTCCTGAAGCAATTGACTTTATATAATATAAACAATCTATTTTATAACAATTTAGTAGATTGGGGGAAGGCGGGGAAAGAATCTTCTTATGCACCTTTTCTCCCCATCTTTACTGCTGAAGGATTGCTATTGGTTTAAACAATACAAGTGTTCTTTTAATTTTTTTTTTTTTTTTCAAATCAGAAATTCAGGGAATTTAATGTAGATAAACTGTTTCTGTGATCTGGGCTATCAAAGACCAATAACACTGAAAAAATAGGTGTAGATAAAGGAGTGAAAAATAAACGAAAGCCAAATTTATCAAGTGAAATTTAGGGGTTTTCCCATACTTTGTATAATCTTCTTAGCGTTGTAGAACTCCGAGGTTTTTTTAAGTTAATATATTATTCAGAAAACTTAGGGTAATACAGATTTTAGAGTAATATGACTGTTGGAGCTGATTGTGACTTTGTGAGGAAAAGCCAGAATTGTAATTTACAGTTAACATGGTCATCAACTGAGGATATAAAAATGTTTTGCAAGCTATCTGAGCTTGTTTATGGGTGAAGGATTGGCTCTGAGTACGTTGTCATGTTTGTAACCGCCATTGTATCAGTAATTTGGGAAGGAGAAATTAAACTTGTTGAAAACCTGTTGTGCATTTCTGGGGAAAAAAAAAAAAAAGACAAACAAAAAAAACCCAACAAACAAACAAACCCTTTTACACCTAACTCATTTGGTTATTTTCAGCTTGATCGAGTTTTTTAACAAGATGAAAAAGTGGGAGGACATGGCAAATCTACCCTCCCAATTCAGAGAACGAACTGAGAGATTAGAGAGAAACTTTACAGTTTCTGCAGTAATTTTTAAGAAGTATGAGCCTATTTTTCAGGACATTTTCAGATATCCTCAAGAAGATCAACCTCGTCAACAAAGAGGAAGAAAACAGAGGTACATTTCTGTGATTTTAGACTGATTTTAGAGCATTACTGTTACAAAAATATAACAAAGTTGCTCAGTTGTTTTACTTGTATTTTTGACTGTATTTTCATAGTAGCTCTTCACAATATCAGAGTTGGTGTCTCTGTCCTTGTCACAGCAATTTTTCAGTCTTTTTGCAGTTTGTCAGAACTGACAGGGTGCAGGAAATCCCAAAGCTGCTAAGTATGTATGATTTGGAGGGAGTGGGAGAAAGGGGAGAGATGATAATCAGCGTGTAGACAAGAGAAATATTAGAATTTCTAAGATGGAAAAGGCTGGAATAATCGGATCTTTGTACAATCTGCATAGCCTCGATAGCTCACAGAACGACTCGGCCTGTTTCACTGCCTAGTAATTCCTGTCGTTTTCTTCATTGATACCTTCTGGATACTTTCATTTATGGTAGAAGCTTTGTTTCTTTGTTACCGTTTGCATTAAAAGTGCTGTGAAAACTAAGTGCTAGCCCTGTTTTCTGGTTATTTGTATCTTAACAAGATCTCATCTGTTTGTGCCAGCACAGCATGGCTTGTCATTTCTCCTGGCAGTTAGTAGAGGTTCGTTTATTCCCATTCAGTATTTCGTCTTCACTACAGTGAAGTGCCATTGTTTGGTTGCTTTTATGTTGTTTTTTTTGTTTGTTTTCTTTTTTGTTTGTTTGTTTTTAATTGTCTTTTACTTTTTCTAATATTTATAGATTATTTCTTAGTTGAGTTTATTGGCTTTTTTCCCCCTTGATGTTCTTGTGAGCATCACCTAGTGGTATTTGTAACCAAATGCAAAATACTTTACATTAGTACTTAGATGACACACTTGTGAACACACAGTTCTGAAAGTCTTGCCTGTACTGAGTACATTAATATCAACACACTGTGTAATGTGTTCCTCCAAGAACATGCATACATGCTTAGAATTCTTATGAATAGGGAATCTCAGCTCTGGCTCTCAAACTATTTCAGTTGACTGTATGTACCATTTGTGATATTGTTGTATGGAAAAGCAGATACAAGATTTTCTGTAGGTTTTAAATTCAGATATGTACCTGTTCTTTGCAACTAATATCACAATTTTGGCTTAAAAGAAGACATTTAGGCCAGCTATATTTAACAGTAAATTTCTAGTGATTTTCTGCTCAAGCCTTGGCACATTTCTAATGCCATCTGCTGTGTTGGTCTGCTCTAGTGACATTTGAATTATCGCATGCAGACTGAGAGCGGGGTTCCACTTGTGTCTGCACCAAACCGTTGTGCAGCTTGCTTTATTACCTTTAGTCAGGTTTTTGTGGGAAGAGTTTAAGATTTTGGCCACACTGTAGTAAAACTTAATTTTCTTTTAGAACCATTGAATGCTTTCTGACGTTCAATCACTCTTCATTCATTGAGCTGATTGTGTGTTGTCTTGCTGTATTTTTCCCCAACAGACGGCAACCCTGTACTGTGACTGAAGTTTTCCAGTTTTGCTGGGTGCTGTTTGTTCATGCAAAAGGTAAGAGACTTAAAAGGGATTAAATACGGCAAACCTGGTTTTGTTAGTTGTTATCTTAGATCAATCCTTAAACACTGAAACAGATGTAGGCATTTCTGGATTTAGGCCCCGAAAAAAGTCCCTCAGAACAGCCTGAAGGAATGTATCCGGTCATCATTTCCCCAGCTGTATGTTTTACCACACTTTTAAGGTGAGCTCTATGTCCAAACAGCTTGCCTTTTGTGTGGAATAGTTTTACAAAGTTTCTAGTATTCTGGAGACTTAAGCTGTAATTGCAGGGGGAAAAAGTAGCTTAGAGTTTTAGTGAGTTCATATTTAGATGATGTTGTAATTAGCATAAGGTGCATGCTTACTAGGAACAAATAATATTTAAATTACTCCTAAGTTTCCATTAACACTGAAAATATTGAATTAATTTTTTTTTTCTACAACCTAGTGAAATTTTATCACAAAATTTTTGGTGTGAATACTTTGACACTAGTATCACGGATAGCATTCTAATTCTTTTGATAGCCTTTTTGCCCCCTACCTTTTTAAAAAAAGAGTACGCAGCAACAGTATCAAATAACCGTATTACTAAATAGGTCTGCCTGGACCTGTCTTTCAAGGGTGATTTTCTTTTGCATTTTGGACAGTAGCAGTATACGTATAAACAGCTGACTGTCTTGAAGACTCAGATTCCTTTGGAACACATAAGGAGAGATCCTCTGTTAATATGCCTCTGTAGAAATAATGCAATAACCAGACAATATATTGCAATGTGTATATAACCTTTATCGTCAGAGCAGTTTTAAAGCTAATAAGAATAGTAGAGAACTTCAGCAGTTTCTCTGGTTAATGACTGATGGGATAAAAAGCCACAGGAGGGAATATGATTAAATCCTTATTTTAGGCTGGAGTTGTTCACTGGTATCACATATAGTCTAAAGCCTTTCCTCATCAAACCTGCAGATGAAAGAGTTTCTGCATACCTAGGGCTTTATTCAAGTACTGCTTGGATGAGTGTTCACTGGGAATTCTGTATAAGTAAGATATTGTTTTGAGGAAAATAAAGACAAGATGTATATTCCTTACTGAAAGAACATCTTTGTAGATTCAGGTTCATTGATAATTTCCAGAGACTTGTTATATTTTTTCACAAGATAACTTCTAGTAGAAGAAAACTAAAAGCTTAATCTCTACAAGGAAATAGTTAAAAGGAATTTGGATTTGGTTTGGGAGTGTGTGTTGGGGTGACTTTTGTAAACCATTGTTAAGTTTCCTGCACTGTGCTATGTTTTCCTTAATTGGCTGCTTTTGAGGATAGGACAGAGTAGGCTGTCACAATATTGAATTATCTGGCACTAATTTTGTTCAAAACAGATTAGCCTTTCTTTCTACACTGCACCACATTGCAGAGGGTTGCCAGCAGCTCCTTTTAGGAAAAGTTGCTGGTTGTGTTACTGTACCCTCACCGTCACATCTTTGTACGAAGATCAGGAGGGGTGTGCTATAGCACGAGTGCTGCACTGAACACTCTATCTGATGTAGAAGATGCCTTTTTCCACCAGGCTGCAGAGTCCACTTCACTGAGGAAGAGAAATCTTTCCTAAACTAATATGTTGCTTGCAACCCTGAAACGATTTTCATCTTTTTTTTTTTTTTTTTTTTTTTTAGTCCAGATTATCACTCTCAAGTAGTATGAAATACCTATTCGTATTCCACCAAGTCCAGAGGAGAGTTAGTACTGTCCTTGATTTCCAGTCACTTCTTTAGCACAGTTAGGCAGCTGAGAGTAAGTAGGTCAGTCTGAAAAATCATTTCTTTTTCTTTTCTCCTCTATAAAATCTGCACTTCTATGGGTGGATTGGTCAGTTGACAAAGTGCAAAAGGATTCTGAATCTTCCTATTGCTATGTTACTGGTTAATGTGTTTGAGTAACTACACCATCAAGTAACTACATAATAAATTAAGTACAATTATCAAGCAGTTTCAGACACACAAATTACTTTGTAAAGAATACTGTCTTGATAACATAGCCAATTAAATTTTACAAGAAAAAGGGAAATTTAGAGTAGGTAAATAAATTTACCACTAGTCACTTTAATTTTACAGTTTTTAAGTGTGGCAGCACAAAAATGGAAACTAAATGTTGACTATTTAAGGCATTTACTAGCCCTGGTAGGTTTTGCTCACTGCTTTGAGGGTTGGCAGTAATCCTTATCGTGGCAACCGCACATCAGTGGCAAGTTCAGGCTTGCCTCTGGTGTTTCTGCCAGCCTGAAGATCATTGCGCTCAGTTTCACAAATGCAGAAAGTACAGGTCTTGCTTGTACCTTTGCTATACACCACAAAGTAAGATAGCAACTTTGTTTAGCAATACTGCAATTCTTGCATATACTATTTGTCAGAATTTATCTGTAAACTCTTGATCTTGACTTTTTTTTTTTTCTTTCTTTAAAATGGAATTGAAAAAAATACATCTCTGCTGCACTGAGATAACTTTTATTATTTGGTACTAGGTTGTGGAAGAAAGCAGTAAGCTATTCTTTGAAATGTCATTGACAAATAATTTATATGAAACTTGGTATTGTAAAATTAGATTTATTTTTGACTGTGCTGACAGTAACAGTTGCTATGTTAGACTTTGTGGTTATGAAATTGAACCTATGTTACAAGAATTACTTCTTTAAGATTTTTACTGCTTAAAATTTTACTACTGTATTTAGGACTTTCGTTGCTTTGCTGTGAACCTTTAATGATTCAGAAATAACTGATGAATGTGTATAGTTAATTCAAATTTCATGTAGGCTTCATTATTTTAAGTAGTTCCAATTATCTGCATTGAAATTATTTTCTTTTAACAAACATGGAATCAGAAAATGAAATATAAATTTGAACAAATGGGTATGTTACAGGTAGAAAAGTAACAGCATAATTTAGAAATATTCTTTAATCATACACACATTTCAGTGTGTTCTAAGTGAATTCTATGATAGATTTTCTATAACTATATGATAGAGTTCTTCAAGGTTTTAAATCTTTTCTTCATACTTGGCTCAGCTGTGTGGTTTGGATCTTACCTGAAAGGAGAAAAAAAAAAAAAGTAGAAAACTTATTACTATTGAAAGAGTGATAGAAAGTCAAGCTGTGTATATCAATTCATGGAATTGTGATTTATGTTATTAATTAATGGTATGGTTTATTTTACATGACTGTTTTTAGCTATGGCCATTCCCCTAAAGAAATATCATAAACCTAAGTAGGTTCAGTAAAGAGGCATGAATCCGAGTATAATCTTTGTGAAAGGTGATAAAAGAGTGAGGAGGTAGCAAGGATTCTTTTCTACAGGAAGGTGATAAATAAGAAATACTTTAGGAGCTATAGGAAATAAAGCTACCTTGTAAACCAGATCAAAGAAACGCATTTGAACTCTTTTGTAAAATGCAAGAGAAATTAAGTTTTATTTATTGCTGTTTATATTGAGCGTGCTCACAACACAATTTTTGCAAAGAAAACAGATTGGTAAAGAAAAATAATCTCCTGACTTTGAGTTGAATCGGATGTAGGTTCATTCTGGAGAATGGGGGGAATTGAAGGAGGAGGCAGCGCTTGCTCTTTCTAGGACATCTGAACGCATGGGTCTAGCCCAGCAAAAGTTCAAGTTCTTTGCAACGCTTTACAGCAATGCAAAATTGGGGAAAAGGGAAGTCTCTGTTGGAACACGTTCTTCCCCCTTACATTCCTTTAGAACAAGATTCTGCTTCAGGCAGGTAGAGTAAGAATCTCCAAGGATGTTACTCTGCCAGACACTGGGGCTTGTGTTGCCAGAGTTCTGGTAACATATTTTTCTTCCTTGAGGGCACTTTGCATTACACTGTTCATGCTGCTTCAAGTTATGCACTGATTAATCAGATTGCAGACTCCCTCATTCACAGTAATATCATGTTTGTCAACATTTGGTAAGGTTTGTTTTCAGCACAGCACAGTATATCTGAGTTCCTACACAATTGCTGCTGTTCCTGACAACATATTTTACTATTATATTTGCTATATTTTATTAAGTGTGTGTCTGTTTTGCTACCTGCATTTCTGTCCAGGTATTTATAGTCACCAAAGTCTATGTTTCCAAGGCTCCATTGTTGATTGTAATGAAAATGTCAACAGTTTCTTGGTTGAAAGAATTTTAATTAGTTTTAATTAATGTCTTCTGTCTTTCTAATATTGAAGGTAATTTCCCTATGATCAGTGATGACTTGGTCAATTCCTACCACCTCTTGTTATGTGCTTTGGATCTAGTGTATGGAAATGCTCTCCAGTGCCCTAACCGTAAAGAACTTCTGAATCCTAATTTTAAAGGTATGTTGAAAAGAAACTATCAATCTTTATCCAAAGTCTGAAAGAACTTCTGAGGCTACTGAAATTAGTAAGGATCGGTGTGACAGAGAATAAATTGAATAATATGGGTTTGAATTCATACATTCTGTATCTAGCTGCAGAGTTAGATTTCTATTAATGTAGTATGTAATAACAGACTACTGAATTTTGTCAATAGTATAGTAAGTCAATTATTTAATTTACTATGGAAATACCATTGAAGGAAGTTCCAAAGTAACAATTTCTGTTAATGACATTTTAATGTCAGTGAAGGCGTGCATAATGATGCGGTTGTTAAGGGACACACTCAGACTGGAGAGTTCCTGGGAGGCAGCTGTTTGGAAAGCTCCCGTGCTCAAAGATGAGAGCGGCAACTTGATTGTTTCCTTCTCTTTTCTGGATTGCTGCTGTTCTCTTTCTGAAGAGAATGGAAACGTAGGTTGACTTGATCACCACAAATGCAAATGAATGGTGAGAAGTTGCCACTGAATTTCTGATTTAATTCTTTTGAGACTTATGCTTCCTTTTCAGTGCTGTAGGGTATTTGCATTTACTTTGTAGTGGTTCGACTGTGACCTGGAACCATTATCTCAAATTTATTTGAATAAATATAATAGTTCAAGAGTGTTTGATTCATTTTCTGTTAGAACTGATATCTTTTAATTTTTATCACTCAATATGTAATTTTTTAAAATCTCTGACTCAAAATTGTCTTTTGATAACATCAAATTGAGTGGGCACTATAATTAATAAATCTTTCAAGGGAATTCATTAGTTGACTATTTTCATTTCACACTGTCTAGACTACACAGCATAGAATTTAAGTTTAATTAGAAAACAGGATATAGATTTGCAGGATTAAATACTGTAGTATTCTTAATTGTAGGTCTACCTGAAGACTTCCATAGTAAGGATTATAAAGTATCATCTGATCCTCCCTGCATCATTGAAAAACTGTGTTCATTACATTATGGATTAGTTTTAGAAGCAAAAGGCATAAAGGAACATTTTTGGAAGCCATATATTCGGAAACTGTTTGACAAAAAGGTTGGTCAATAAATTTGTCATGTAAAAAAATTTCTCCTTACTCATTATCTTCAGAACCTTTTAAGAACTGAAGAGTCCATCATTTGTTCTTAACTGTCTTACAGCTTTTAAAGGGAAAAGACGAAAATCTGACGGGATTTCTAGATCCTGGGAACTTCGGAGATAGCTTGTGAGTCACTGGCTTCGTGGTTTGGTTTGCAGTAGTATCTGTAATACGACTGCACTTGCCTGATTATCTGTGTCTTAGCACTAGTACTAGCTAGGTGACTTGCATAGGTATTAGTGTTTATACATTACATTGTGTTTCAGTTCCTTTTCTTTGAGGTGGTATGGTCTGAGGCGTATTTGAAAGAGGAATGAGTCTTCAGAATGATGTCACTTGATGTCTGGTTTTGTTCTTACGTTTCTATGCTTCCTCCAATTTTTTTTTTGTATATAACTCAGTGTTAGTATGAAAAAGATGTGGGAGCACATTGAGTGGGCAGTGGGAGGGAAAAATGGGGTTTGGTGGTATTTTTTTCTTTATAAACCTAGAGATGCTCATGAGTAGGACTTACTTTCTTTCAAATGGTGTGCAAATGATAAGCCGAGTTTATGATGATGTGATTCTGCGTAAGTTTTGAAGAGTTTTCAGCCAAATGCGAGCTACTAGTGTTGGATTATGTTCCTTTTGCAGCTATGCTAGATGGCAAGCCATCAGATATAATGGAAAAACAACGTCATGTTTAAGATACTGTAGATTTTAAAGGAGCTCCAGTGCTTAAGTCAGCTAAAAGAAGTTGTAAAGTAGACTTCCAGCAGGCCAGAACGGTGTTCATTCAGTACGCAGGTGAACAAAGCACTGTGTAAATGGAGGGGGGTTTATATCTGTCTCTTCCTTTCTGCTGTAGCAAAGCCATCAACAAGGCCTACGAGGAGTATGTTTTGTCAGTAGGAAATCTTGATGAGCGAATATTTCTTGGGGAGGATGCGGATGAAGAAATTGGAACTCTCACAAGGTGCTTAAATACACCTTCAGGGATGGAAACAGCTGAAAGGGTGCAGGTGAAGCATAACTTGCAGCAGCACTTTGACAGGGTGAGTATGACATGGAACGTGTTGCCGTTTTTACACGGAGAAGAAGTTGTGAGTTGGTCTGTGATGAGGAGAAGGAGCTACTGAAAATTACCATCTATTGTTCAAGGTGATCTGGGAGTGTACACAGCATAACTGTGTTAGATTTTGTAAGTGATTAGATATATTGTTTACTTCGGGGGTTTGGGGACAGAATTTTTCCATACATTTGGGTTTTCTTTGGTTAAATGCAATGTAGAGAATATTTAGGTAATTACCCAAAGAGGTATCTTTAGGTAAATGTAGGTGCAGATTTTCAAGCGTGACAGAGCGGGCAGTTCTCCATGGTTGGTTGGCAGGTGCTGAATTGTCCTGCAACTGCCGGGGCCCCCTGGTCCTTCCCAGCCAACTTTCCCTTCCCTCACATCTCTGTCCCATATGCCTTTTTTCGCTTAACATACGCAAAGCTGCTCAGCACTTTGCACGTTGTTTGTTTTAACAGATGTGCTTTGGGTGTTAATATTACATCTGGTTACAATTGTAGTTAAATCACTAGGGAATGGTTTTCACCTTGCTTGCTTAAAAGCATGATACGTAGATATGTGTGTTATAGATACATAGGTATGAGTAATAAAATAGCGTAGAATGTGGTATTTGAGAGGATAAAGAACACTACATGTTTCAGAACAATGAAGAGAAGACCTAGAAAATGATCAGGGCCTTTGTGTGCCTAGAAAAGCTTTTGAAAAGCAGGCACTGGCTTTGAATGCAGACATGTACAGCTGTGATGACAGAATATCAAAATATTCCTGAGGATGGAGAAGAGATCTTAAAGGAGGAAGGATACCACAGGCAAATGAAGAAGGGTATAAGCTGTATTAGCACAGTTAGATTACAGAGAGCAAAAGGGTAAAACAGTCTCGATCACCGCCACAGCTGTGGGATCTTTTTCCAGAGTGAGAGTTGGTTAATGGCTTTCAACATTCTGGAGACAAGGGACCGAAATAACCCAATTCAGCAAATCAGTGCAATCAGTTATTTATTTGCTTCTGATCTATTGAAAGAAATAATCAGCCACTAAGTTTTGCTGGCGTAACTCTGGCAGGTGTCTGGAGTGATGAGACAGTGCGGCCTGTGAGGCAGCAGCTTGCAGCCGCAATGCCGGAGCTGCGGCAGGCCCCGGGCAGCCCACGTAGGGCTGGGGGAAGCAGCCTTCCTGCTAGGGCCTGGGGACAGAAATAAAACACACCTAGGAGTGTGTGGGGAGAATGGGACAAGTATTGGGAGCTCGACCTCGTGAAGAGACTGCAAAATGTAATGTATTCATTAAAGTAAGGGAAACATTTCTTGGTTAAGTGATAGTGTGGTTAGATAATCAGAGGATGCATTGGTTTTGCTCTGCACTAATTGAAGGAATATCCTTGATGTTAAATTATTTTGATGTGATGGCTTGATCTGATGCAAATGAATTAGAAAGCTAAGTGTTAGATCCAGGAAGACTTTTCTCGTTAAGAGGTAAACCCGCTGCGCGCCCTGGCTCGGCACACTTCCCGTCTGAGCTACAGCTGCCTTTGGTACACAAGGGATGGGGCGCTGCTGGGGGGCTGGGGTTTTTTTTTTAGATTGGCCTAGTGGTTTCACACTTCACTTGCAGTGCCTGTGTCTCAGTGTGAGATCACATTTTCACTAAGTTTGTACAGTGCTGTTTGATGCAAACATCCGAGTGACACAGGTAAATCTTTAATTGCTGGCTATTACCTGAGACAGGAACTAGTTTGGGCGGTTTGATTCCCAGCCATTTTTTTCTGGGCCTATATCGTAACACAGGGTAAGAATCCTACAGATGGACACTTCTAGTTTTTGACCTGTATCTGAGTTTTATAGCAGTGTACAGCTATATGCTTCTTTTCTGTCTTTTTAGTCCAAATCACTTAGGATTACAACCCCGCTTACTGGCCGCAAGTATATTAAAGAGAGCAACCCATATGTGACGCCTGTTTCCATAGCAACGTACAGTTTGAGCCGCCTTCACACGATGCTGGCAGGGCTGAAGAATGCCCCCAGTGAAAATCTGGAGCAAATACTCAGGTAAGCTTGACGTTTAGCTAACCAAATCAATATGGTTTTAAAAGTTTTAATAACAAACAGTAATGCTGAACAGTGTAATTTCAAATGTGAGTCAGTCTTAAAATGTTCTGGAGTAAACTAGGACCCAGAGACACGTTTCATCTTCAAAAGACTTTGTTCTCTTTATTTAGACACATTTGTCCTTAAGAGATTGATGGCTGTAAGAACATGCAACATTTAAAACCCAACAGTTCCGAGTTTCTGTAACAGCAAACTGCTAATACAAAATTGTCAAGACTTTTCTTCCTCCTACTTAGCAAATCTCACTTCCTAGCAAGTTGCTCCACTCTGAAGGAGATGCAAAATAAATTTCATTCTCCATGTAGGTAAACTATTGCTTCAGGTACAATATACTTTGAAACAATTTTTAGATATCACACAGAAAATACAGTTTAACTATTCACCCCTGATCATGAGAAGATGTGCATATTTACTACAATGTATACAATAGTAATAAAATGCCGTGGACATTTTACAGCGCACATACAGGTAGGCAGCTAGGGGTGTGTTTGTATTGCTATGCAATGTATTTACAGTTTCATGCTTTCATCATATTATAAAAATGGTTGTAGATTTTTTTTTTTTTTAATTAGTAGGAACAGTATGTTGAAAACGTTGGTTTTATTTTCAGGGCATGTTCCAGAGATCCTTCTCAATCTATTGCAAACAGAGTGAAAGAGATGTATGAAGCATACTGCCAGAGCGTGCAGTCTGAAGGAGAATTCAGTAATTTTTCCAAAGGTGGGAAATATTTTACTTATCCTAGTAAGAATGAAAATGCCTGGAAACACATTGATCTCCTGTAATTGTTTTACTTACAAGTTATGCTTCAGCACAAGTGTCTTTTCTATTGCTTCTGTCTTTCCTTGTATTCTTAAGACATGGCAAATTTCAACCCTGCATAGGATTTTATCATCAGCCTTAGCTCATATCACTGGAATCTGTTGATACTTTCAGTTGTACAGAAGTGAAATGAAAAGGACTGTTAAGCGTACCAGTTTTTCTCCCAGATAGTAAAATAATAGTGATAACATGGATTTCTGTGATAATAATGAAAAATATAATTGTAGTCTTTAAAAACCCTACAGCAGTTTTGGCTTACATACAAGGATGGATTAGCACAGATATTAAAATCCTGCCAGTATAACCAAAAAGTACTATTTGTCAAGTGTGTGAAGACAGATAGAAAATAAGGAAGATGCTCTTGACCTTCTTGTTTCATAATAGGGCCTTACCTTGTTCCTGACAGCATAGTTGTTTCAGGGTTTTCAGTTGCGCAGTGCGAGCTGGATCCCTATAGGTACACTTTTCAATGTATTTTCTGAACTTGAAATATGTAGAGTGTATGACAGCAATGTTAGGGGTTGTTCCTCTATACAGGGTTTTCCTCAGGGTTCAGTAGTAAGTGACTCTGCTCTGCATTCGCAGGTCAGTGCGGCATAGGAGAGGGATGCCTAGGTTAATTTTAACTGGGTTAGTCCTGAAAGTGTTGTAGCTACAGCAGCACAGAAATCCAATCCACACAAGCTCCTCAACTGTTGTAGCTCTATAGCTTAAGAAAAAGAACATAATTATCGCATTTCACAATATTGTTCCTACTTAAAATTCCTGCAGATGTTGCTAGTAAGCATTTTCGTCGTGCTGAGGTGCTGTACTACAAGGTCTTGGAATCAGTCATTGAGCAGGAGAGGAGGAGACTGGGAGACACTGACTTATCTGTAAGGAAAACTAAACCCATTGTACTTCATTTTTAAATTTGTACCTACAAAAAAGCAAACTAGTTGTAAAGCAGAACAGACGGGTCTCTCAAATAAGGGTCCATCTCTGAAAAGTGCCCTGCAAGTACACCTGCCTGGAAGAAGTGTACAAGAACTCGTTTGTGTTTGTAAACACAAAGATAGTTGAAGTTTTTAATGAGTAAAGATGGCTCATTTTGGATACGTTTTGCCTCTTCCAAAATAACATCTCCTAAAAAAGCTTGATAATCCTGTTTTGGATGAGGCAGAATAGAAAGCATTTTCTTGTTCTAGAGTTACACCGTAAATTCAGCTTTACAATTTGCAACTCTCTTGCAGGCAATACTGGAGCAAGATGTGTTTCACAGATCTCTGCTGGCATGTTGCCTTGAGATCGTTACCTTTACGTATAAGCCACCTGGAAACTTTCCATTCATCACTGAAATATTCGAAATTCCAGTTTATCATTTTTATAAGGTAAAGTCTTTGAGAGCTAGAAATGCTTATCAAGTCATGAGAACTCTATGGAGTCATATTAAGCCATCTCCTTACTGAGATGTTAACTTACACATCAACTCTTCACTCTCAGCTCTGCCCATTTTTGTATTGAAAAAAAAAAATTATCCCCAGTATCGATCTAGTAACTGATGGATTATCATTTACCACGAGCTATTCTGCAACAGTGCTTGGCATGTTTGTTTGTTTAGAAAGATACAAATAACTGTCTTCTGGTAAAACTGCAAGATGACATATGATTGAGTCATAGTAATGCAGCCTTTAACAGTCTCTTCTTCCTTGAAAATTGGGAATTAGATCTTTCTGTAAGAAGAAATATATGAAACGAGCACATTATGTTGATCGGAATTATACACCTTACAGGTAATTGAGGTTTTCATTAGAGCAGAGGACGGCCTTTGTCGGGAAGTAGTAAAACACCTCAATCATATTGAAGAACAGATCTTGGAAAGCATGGCGTGGAAACAGGAATCCATTCTGTGGGACAGAATCAGGGATAATGAAAACAAAGTTCCTAGTTGTGAAGAGGTGAGTGCTGCTTGGGAGGTTTTGCATAGTTATCCTAATCGTAGAGGGGACGCTGCAGCCTGCTGGGGGGAGGCCTCCAGCCTTCAGTTTGGGCAGCCCCAGCAGGCCGGGCTCCCGCAGCGCAGCCCGGCGATGAACAGAACAGACAAGCAGGGAAGGTTTGCACCAGTCACTCGCACTTGAAAAGATTACTGGCCCTGAAGAAACATTGTAAAAAGTAGAGACTTCTAAGTGTAGTCACAGAAGGACTATTACAGTACTGCCTCTTCGAGAGTAGTACAATCACTGCAACGTTTTGGTAGGCTTAGGGTAAGTGTTTTGATATTCTTGGTTTTATTTCTTTCCATACAGTTTTGCTGTTCAAGATTTGTAGTGCAGAAGCTTTAACGTATTTGTCACGTAGTCAATCTGTGATACAGACACTCTAATAAATAAATAATTTTAGGTAATGCCGCCTCAGTACTTTGAGAGATCTGCTGGGAACAGTGTTGTTGGTTCGCCACTGACACCAAGACGAATAAACGAGGTTCGTGCAGAAAGTGGAGGACTAGGAAAAGGTGAGACTTGGTGTGTAACATGCTTATGCTGCTCAGACTGTGGCTTTAATTCTTCAATCTAGGTGGTGCATAGCACAGATGCTGCTTTACAGTTACTGTGCAGTTACTTGCAAGCACGTGGGTAAATGGTGTTTCTATTGCAACTCACCCAGTTAAGTCCCATGGCCAGGACCGCCGCGTTCACTATCAGTGTGAACAAAACCCTGCAGTGAGAGGGTGCTTCCAGGAGGCTATGCCTATGAACAATGTAGATGTATGTATACATATACACATGTTAAATAATATTTATACACGCATAAAACTTATGTTCTAATCAGTAGCACGTGAACAGTTTGCTTTACTGTTATACCAGAATTGAATCTCCACTGTATATTCAGGTACGTGAAGTCTCAAGCTTTTGCGCTGGAAAAACAAAACATAATACGTTAGTTTAGAAAAATATTAAATGCAGAAATATTTGATGTTAAATCATCTCTAAAAGCAACCTGGAAGCACAACTGTAGACATCAGGAATTTAAAAAAAAAAAAAAAACAACATTTCTGGAACGTATTTTGATTATTAGACTTCCATCAGGTATTTTTATAATCAGGGATTATATAATGGGACGTAAATATGTATGGGGGTTTTTTTTAATCCACAGGCCTCTCCTCCTCTCCCACAACCCTGTACGACAGATACAGTTCTCCCACAGCCAACCCTACGCGGAGAAGACTGTTTGCTGACAGCGATGCCCCCCCTGACAGCGGGGCGCCGGTGCGCGTGTCCCAGCCGCCCGTGGTGAACGCGGTGCCCGTGCCCAGCCTGAACCCCGAGGCCATGTCCGTAACGCCGGTGCCCGGGCAGACACTGGTTACCGTGGCAACCGCCACCGTCACCGCCAACAACGGGCAGACTGTGACCATCCCCGTCCAAGGTGAGAGGAGAGCGACGGGCGAGCGACCCGGGCTTGGTCCCAGCAGAGCATCAGTACACAGCACGGGGGACGGGGCGGGAGCAGTATGCCAGTGGAGCCAAAAGTGTGCTTCGGGACTCACACGGGGAGAGATTGTTTCAGTAGCTGAGCAGAACTTAGAACACGTGCAGCACAAGATGTTCTAACTGCCACCATCTATTTTATAAATCTTAGCTATTTCAGTAAGCCTTCCTTCCCGAACTGGCATGGGGTGAAAGTTATATTAGTATGAAAAACTTAGTTCAACTTCATGATTTTCTTGTCTCCTTCGGACTTTTCATCATAAGTATTTTGATGAAACAATTCTACATATAATATACTAAACATATAGTTAAAAGCAACTAATAAAAGAATTACTGAATTCTTTAAAAAAGAAAGACAATCAAAACCAAACCACTAACAACCACAGACCCACACTCCCGCCTCCCAACTTGCTCTTATTTCAGACTCTTTGTTACATTACAGGTATTGCCAATGAAAACGGAGGAATAACTTTCTTCCCAGTCCAAGTCAACGTAGGCACCCAGGCTCAAGCGGTCTCCGGGCCCATTCCTCCTCTCAGTGCCCAGGCCCTGGCCGCCCCCCTGAACCCCCCGCTGAGCGGGGCAGCGCTCCAGCTCCCCGGCCCCTTACCGGTCCCGCAGATCTCGCCGGGAGAGCAGCGCCCAGCCCCGCAGCTGCCCCCTGCCCCCGCCCCCCGGCCACGCAAGATGGGCTCGCTCGCACTCTTCTTTAGAAAGGTACTTTTCCATCTAATTTGTGCTTTGCTTAGTTTGTCTTTGATAAGTCTTCGCTGCTTATTACTAGAAATAGGAGAATATTCCATTTCAAAGTTAATCTGTACCTGGTGTCCCTTCAGAGCCAGACCTGCCGAGTAGTTTTTTTATGCAGGTAACTTGTCACTAGCAGAGGAGTGGACTGTCTCCACAGCTGTCACATCACAAGCTGTCAAGTAGATGAGGTACTTCACCAGCTGGTACGCCAAGGGGTCCATTTTCTTTATGACTCTTTAAAAGAAAGAAATTCACCTTAGAGACCTTCTGGTTTACTCACTACCGTGTGCTTGTAGGTTATACGGTGCCCTGCCTGTGCTCAGGCCAGCCTGGAATTTCAGCTTCAAACAAATGTTTTCTTAGCATTGATCCCAGCCCTGAGAGTGTCTGTGTCCTGTAGGCAAACAACTTAAATTTTATTATTCTTCTTTTGGCTTATCTTTTGCACAAGTTCTGCCGGGTGTGCAAGTCAGAACTAGGCTCCAGCTGGGTGAGAAAGCGGTGTTGCTGGGGCCCTAAGCACAGTCTCCATTTCAACAGGTCTATCATTTAGCTAGCGTTCGGCTGAGAGATCTCTGTGTCAAACTCGATATCTCTGATGAGCTCCGGAAAAAGATCTGGACGTGTTTTGAGTATTCCTTGGTGCACTGCCCTGAAATCATGATGGACAGACATCTGGATCAGCTGCTGATGTGCGCGATCTACGTAATGGCAAAGGTAAGGTGTGAATGAAGAAAAAGTGTCTTTAGGGCTTAATATTCCACACACAGTTCCTCAAAAAAACCCCAAACCCCAAGCCGATCAAGCAGCCCACCCAACCACCCCCAAACAAACGAGCTACCCACAGAGAAACTATGAACCTTTTCTGTTCGTCTCCTCTTAGGTTACTAAGGAGGATAGATCATTTCAGAACATTATGCGCTGCTATCGCACACAACCCCAAGCCAAGAGTCACGTAAGTACAGCTGCTATTAATTAAACGAGGTGGTAGCCTCTGCCTTAGTTCTACTTTGGAAGGGACTGCTTTTTAAAGGAACATTTAGTAGTAAGTGAATGCAGTCTGCGAGCCATCAGAAGGCAGCAGTCGCATCCAAAATCCTGCGCTCCTGAAAGCTTTTTATGCAAAACTGTACGTCAGCTAGGAAATATCTTAAGCTAAGACCTAAGGAGGCAGTGCCTGGTGGATATGCTGCTCGTAGGAGGGTGAATTTTCCCCTTTAATAAGCAATTTGATACAATGAATTTTCTAAAAAGGTGATCTACCATGCAGGCTGTTGTTTCCTGACGCCGTAGCTGCACATCTAATCACCCTTCCTTTGTTCCCCTCTTTTTCCCTGCAGGTGTATCGGAGCGTCCTGATCAAAGGCGGGAGACGACGCTGCCGCTCCGGCAGCAGTGACAGCAGCAGCCAGCAGAACTCGCCTACGGACAGGAGTAAAGAGAGGAACAAAGAAAGAAGTGAGTGATTGCAGATATTTGGTTTGAATTCCATTTCCAAAACTGTGCACATAGTGGGTGCTGGCTTTTGTGTTGCCCCACCCCAAAGAGTTCCTTCTGTGGCAAGCTGGCACACAATTGAGAATATATCGATAGCACTGACGAGTTGTTGTAATCCGAGCATCACATTACACCCACTTGGACAGTTCTGAATCTCACCACCACACCCACTTACCTTACGAGTTGACTGTGCTGCCAGGCCTGGACCCTCCGGGTTCCGTTTGTGCCGCCCGGGGCGCAGGGAAGGGCCAGCAGGTGCTGGTCCCTGCTCCGGGGCGGCTGCAGGGAGGGAGCACACCCGACACCCACAGCAGCGCTTCGGGCGTCTCTGACATCTGTGAAGATCCTTCCCTTGATTTCTGAACTGACACGTTTTCCTTGAACTAACGTTTATAATTAAGCATCCTGTATATTCCTAGCACCCGTTTTCACGGTATATAATAGATGACAGTGGCAGGAGGGGAGGACAAAATTCCTATGTATTTTGCAGCTTCCCACATTCAACCACCAGGAAGTGTTACCCAGCCACATAGTTCTACCTGAAAAAGGGCACTGTTCCTTACTTTTAATAGTGCCAGCTGGCACAAAGGAAGAGCTGCTGTTAGAAGTGTAGCACAAATGCCTAAAAAACAGCGCTTTAGCTCTGCGTATTTTCATCTAGTATCATCTAGTAACAGCTCAGAAATCCAGTGTGTTTCTGTACGTGCACGCGGCAGGCGGTTGGCCGCCGCTCTCAGGTGCGGGAGGGTGGTGAGGGAGCAGCCCCCGTGGCAGGGCCAGGCACCAGAGCGGCCGCTCTCTCCCGCAGCGAGCCGGGACTCCAGCCCGGTCATGCGCTCCAGCAGCACCCTGCCCGGCCCGCAGCCCAGCAGCGCTCCCCCCACGCCAACCCGCCTGACCGGCGCCAGCAGCGACACCGAGGAGGAGGAGCGAGGGGACCTGATACAGTTCTACAACAACATCTATATCGAGCAGATCAAGGAGTTTGCCCTGAAGTATACTTCAAACGCCGTAAGTGAAGTTCTGTGCTTTTCATTAGCAAATAGATCTTTTTTTTTTACTGTACCTGCAGTGAAGTACTCTTGGCTAACTTCACTGTAAGCAAATTCAAGGGATTACATTTTTATGACAATAGTTTCCCCTCAAGGACACACTCTGCTGTTAAAACGCCGAGTGCTTTCAATGCCCATTTGCTGTTTCCCCCTGTATGAAATACACAGCCCTGAGCGACGGCACCTGCCAGCCTGACAGGGTTAGAAAAGTAAATGAAAACATCAACTCATCTGGCCTAATAACGTGATAAAACTTGCATCTCTTCTAAATGTGTACGGTGAGACACAGTGGAAAAAAACCTAAACTGTGTAAGGTGACTAACTCAGAAAAGCCTTTCTGTCATAACACCCAAGACCAGATACCAACTGTCGGGTGATTTTCATTCTCTCCTGAGCAGGCCGATTCTCCCCCGCTCTCGCCCTACCCCTTCGTAAGGATTGGCTCTCCTCGCCGAATACAGCTCTCCCAGAATCACCCGGTGTACATCTCGCCACACAAAAATGAGTCTACTCTCTCTCCTCGAGAGAAAATATTCTATTATTTCAGCAGCAGCCCATCTAAGGTGAGACTAAAGCGTTTTAGTTTGCTTTTATAAATCCCTATTTCTACCTTTTTAATAGTGAAATTAGAGAAGATTGTGCAGCGTTTCTTTCTGACATGTTGCCTAACACGTACTTTCTCCCCCTAACACTCTGCAAACTGTCCCTTCAGGTACCTCAGAAGCTGTAAAGCAATTAGGTGTCCTCGCTACTGGTCTGCTTTTCAAAGTTACTCTTCATAGGGATCCCTGTGAGCAACTGGGGAGGCGTGGCAACGCTACCCCTTGCTTTCGGGTCCTGGGTGGGTTACTGGGTGTGGAATCCGGTTGGAGAGAACACGAAGTACAATCCCACCCTCGCACCTACCCCGGGGGAAAAAGTCCTCCGCCTGGTTCAAGGTGAACCGACCTACCTGGTCAGTGTGGAGTGGGCTGACTCCTGGTGTCTCTGGTCCCCAAGAAGGATGCAGAACTCTTCCCTGGGGGGCGGCTGCCGTGCAGGCAGGCGGGGCTGCACCCGCGGTGTGAGGGCGGCTCTGGTGTGCCCTAGTGCTGCCAAGGGCCGGGCAGCCAGCAGGGAGGTCAGTCTGGCACACTCCGTGCTGCACAGCTCTCCAGAGAGGAAGCCTGCATAATCCCACTGTAAGGCAGTTAACAAAGATTCACTCTATATTTTGGGAGTCACAATAATGACAGATAATTCTACTTTTTTCCCTCCTCTCCCCTCCAGAGGCTAAAGGAGATCAACAGCATGGTTCGAACTGGAGAAACGCCAACAAAGAAGAGAGGCATTCTCCTAGAAGATGGCACTGAAGCACCAGCGAAGCGCATCTGCCAGGAGAATCACACGGCTCTGTTAAGACGACTACAAGACGTAGCAAATGACAGAGGGTCCCACTGAGCCCCCCCGCACAGGGCTCGGGGAGGCGGCCGTGGAGCGCAGCCCTGCTGCCTCCTGCCGCGCAGTTGCTGCAGCCCCCCCAGCCCGGCAGCCCCGCCCTAACCCCTCCCACCCTGCCTTGGCTGTCACAATAACCACCGCCACAGAAATAATGACTTACACGTAACAAAGTCCAGTTCTGCTTGGAAAGGCAAGAGGGGAATAATCTTTGTAAGCCCTGACGGAAGCCGGCTGGCTGGATTCCTGCCCCGTTCGGGGGGTTCCACGTGCCCCCCAAACCCCTCACCTTGTTTCGCTGCACGAAGGCAGGTAACGCGGCGGCGCCTTGGTTCGAGCGGTGCAATTCTTCACAGGGAACTCACGTTCCAAAGGTGGCACTTTCGGTGGGGCTGGGAAGCGTCATTTTTAAGGCAGATTAGTTTTGCTGTATATTTGCAATGGCACTTTCTACATGTGAATATTTTTTTTCAAAGGCTGACTCCAGCCAACTTTCTGTATTGAAGCAATTTGACTTTTGTATTTATTTACAAATTGACATCCCATAGCTCCCCTCTTCAGCACATGGCACTAAGAATTCCTTTCCACTTGATGCATGCCAGAAGCTTTCTTTTCCAAGGAACTTTATATGCTTGTAATGTTTCTTCAGATTGCTTTTCTTGAGAGTCAGGAACTGGCCACCTCACCTCCTCAGCAGGAGGACGGGCCCATCCATCTCTTAAAATGTAGATTTAGCTTTTTTTGTTTGTTTATAAAGCACAGGGATTAGGGGGCATTTTTGTGTTTTTTTTTTTTTTTTTTTAAATGGACTAAATCAGGCTGCCTGGGAGAAATCTCTCCCCTACTGGTAGGGTAAGAAAGGGGTGCAGATGTTAGACTTCTAGTAGTTGTTTTCATTGAAACTAGTTCCAAAATACCAGACTTATTAGGAAAGCATTAAACCTACTAACAACCTGTCCAGTACAGCAATTCTCCTTTCCAGTGATATAACTGGGACAGGGTGGTGTTCATGTAAGACGTAGCACACCCACATTCTAGCAAGTTTTTATAAGAAAGCAAAAGTTAAAACCTCTGTTTTCAGTCATCCTCACTTCTCTGAATAATGGGAAAATTTAGGACTTAATGAAAGATGCTTTTATTTTACTTCAACTGAATTTACAGTGGAATTCTTACCTGCATAACAAAAAGGCTGAAGTCCAGACAGTGTGTAGATGTTTCTGTAAAAATATTTATGAAATTGACAATTCTTGTTACTCTGTACCATTTATGTTACTTTGTATGAAAATATTGCAAGCATATTTTTCAATAAAGAATTTATAAACTCACAATTTTATGTTCTCATGTGAAAAAAGCATTGTATGTACAAAGCTGAAAGTAGCCTGTAGCTCTCAAACATGGTATTTGAAAATATCAAAATGCTCATGGAGCTGGGGGCCACAGGGCACCTGCTGTACTTGAGATTGCAAAAACTTCAGTCACACATTGCAATTAATGGTTTAAAAAAAATTAAATTGTAAACTAATTCACTCAGTCCCACTACAAGCCAGAGAGTTTACTCTTGCCCCAGTTTAGTCATCGTGTTTGTTCTAAACACGTTTCCCCCCGTGGCAGTGGTCAGCGCGGCTCCTTGCGTGCCCTCTAGCCCCCGCCCGCCCGTCTGACGGGAGCTGGGGCAGCTCCAGGAGCGCTTGGGTAAGGCATCAGGAAGGGTTTGGCCCCTGGCAGCCAGGTGCTGCATTTCTACAGCTCAGTACATGCTGGTTCGCCCCTGCGTTTGTCCTGACCCGCCCCCGCCCGCAGTTTCAGCAGCTGCTGTGGTCTCTTCCTTTCTGAAACCAAACTGCTGAGTGACATTCTGCCGTAAATCATGAGGTACAATTTGTAGCTTATGCTCTGAAACAGATGCTGAAAGAGCTACTTCCACAGAGGTGTTCCAAAGGGGGGGGGGGAAATCTAGTATGTGAACATGATTAAAAAAAAAAAAAAAAACACAAAAAACAAATAAACATCTGAACTAGCTTCAGATAATTTCTTTAAGATTTAGAATAGAATGGTTCAGCTGGAAGGGGCCTACAACCCTCACCCAGCCCAACTGCAAAGGTCCCAGTTTAAGATTGCTGTAGCATAAATTGTATTTCCCTTTCTGGAATGATTCTTTACAGAGCTCAGAATTGCAAAGATGATATTAAAAAATGCACCTTAGCAAAGCGTTGGCAGGGACTTACATTTAGCTTTCCATTAAACAATCTACCTGTACGAGGAAAGCTGGCAGCTAATTCCAGGAGAAAAGGATTTGTTTTTAGGGAGATTCTTTCCCTGCTCATTTGCTACTTTGCTCCTGAACAGCTTCTTTTAGTACAAAAATCCGATTACAGGACAGCTATAGTGTTTTCTCTCCTTTCTCAATCTAAATAAGAAGATGATTCAGATTATTCAATTCTAAGCCAAACAAAATTCTGCATTCTCTTAATAAAAAAAAAAAAAAGTATCTTTTCAGCAAATTTCTATTAGCATGGATTAATTTAGAGCAATCCAACCCACTCACCAGCCCTACAGGGGTCCATAACAGCTCAAAGATAAACAACAGGTACTCAAATAACCATCATTTTTATGACATCATTCTGTCATCCTTCCTTCTCACTGTTTTTACTAACTGGTGGTTTCTAAACCCCAGCAGCAGCTGCCAGATCTGGGAGCTGACATGAGGCAACACTTCCCAGGACTTGCCCCCTGTTTAACCCCCCAGCACCACCAGTGTAGGTGGGGGGTCGGTCCCCTGGTCGCCTTTCTGCATTGCGCCCAGTAGGAATGAAGTCCTGTGGCCACCCTGCTGCAGCTGAGATGAAAGGACATCCCAAGATTAGAAGGGATTAAACTTCTACGCAAGTCCTTCACCTAAGTGGCTTAGGAAATTTGCAAGTCAGTGATTTATTACAAAGGCTTCTGAATAATCATAACAATAAAGAGGAACTATCCCACTCCAGCAAACAGTGCAGGGCTGCCTCCTGCCCAGCGGGCTTCCTCACTCACTGCCAGGCCCATTTTCTGCTCCACACCAAGAGTCCTTCAACTAAAGTGCTAATGCTAAACCCAAAGCATTTACATTTCAATTTCAGCCTTCCCAAGAAAAGCATAAAAGAAAGAAACAGCAGCAACAGAATTCCTGTTCACAGTACTTGAGGAGCTACACTCCAGGCCAGCACACGAGCCCTCAAAAACTCTTCCCCTGTGGGTTGCTTGAAACAACCCCAGCACCCCTCCCCGGGCAATGCCAGCTCAGCTTGCAGGCCAGTTCCTCCACTCCTGTTTTCCGTCACAAACCCAGAACAGCTGACAGGCCCTTGCCAAGGCTGCAGCACTCCCAATTCCTCAGCACCTGCCAGACACCCAAAATCAACAGGCTAGCAGGGGCACCAATGCCCCAGGGAAGGGAAAGCTGACAGAGGTGAGAGAGACAGGTCCATCTCTCCTTGCCCTGTACAGGGTTACAAGGAAGCTGGCTGTTCCTCTCCAGTTTCTACAGGTCCAACAGCACGTTAAGGCTCACTTCACTACCTTGTACCCTGTTCTGGAGACTCCTCACACAAAAGGAATTCTGAAAGCAAGCTGCTCCATAGCAGAGGCATGCTTAACCTTTGCCAAACGTTTGGTTTCAGTCAACAACCAGTGGCACATGACATGAAGGATGGAGTAAAGTTGAACAAATGCATATTTAGGATTATTGGAAATCTGTTCCCAGAATGCAAATAACAAAGGCCAGAAACAGTACCAAGGATTTTTTAAGTAGCTATTCAGCTGCACGGAAAACAAGGAAAAAGTAAGAGTGATAACAGAAACTTTTTGCAGATATTAAGCTAGTTGCCAAGCAGCTGTCAGCCACCCCACACTCCCAGAAGCACCCCGATTTAAGCAGGAGACATCAGCTGTGGCTGCTGCAAACCTTCTGTGCCTTGTGCCACACACCAACCCCCTTTCCACAAGCACAGAAGCGCTGGGGAAGGTGCAAGCTGGATGTGAGCTGCTTTCTGCCCACGCCCTTCCTAACAACAAATTGCAAGGCAGGGCATGAAATAAGAGCCATTAAGTAAATACCTAAAAGCACTGGAGGGATCTAAACCAGAACAAGGGACCAGCTGAGCTGCTGCCCAAGCTGTGCCCACAAAGGCCGCTCCCCACACACGCTGCCTGCAGGGCTGCGACACTGCAAGCACGGAAAACAACAAAACGTGCCCAAAAACCTAAGCACACTCCTGAGAACAAAAGTGTCTTCAGACACTTCCAGTTTCCTCCTTCAACCTCTGTCTCTGTGCACAAGCACTCAAGGCCTTTGCTTCTACCCAGCATCTCACAAGGACTTGAGGCAGAAAACAGCTGAGGTCCCCCACTGCAGCCAGTCACAGCCCTGTCCCGCACCACCACCGAGCTTTTGTCCTGACACAAGAGGATGGAGGCCCAGCAACACACTGATTCCACCCCCCTCCCGCTCTCCCTCCCTCCCTCTCAAAGAGCAGATCAGCAGCAAGGCCACTCACCCCTTGTCACCAGAGCTGGACGTGGTCATCCATGTCTTCAGCAAAGATCCCAGGGAGCGGCGACCCCCTCGGTGCTGGGAGACGAAGCCGGGAGCTCCCTGCAGAGCCGCGCTCGGCCACGCCGGCCCGGGAGGTGCCACCAGCAACGCTGACCCTGCCACGGCTGCACCCAAGGGTGCGCAGCCCCCCCGCCCACAGGAGCTCGCCCTCACAGGTGGAGGGGGGCCAGACAGCTTCCGTGGCTGGCAACACAGGGTAAGAACGACATTTTGTTTTGAAAGACTGAAAAATGAAGTTTCAAAGCCCTGTTTTACACTGGCAGTAGTTTCCTAAAGATCACTGAACCAGGACAACTGGGGCAGAGAAGCCCTACGTGCCCAGTTACTCATTCCTTTGCCTGCACAGGCACACTCTCACACTCTCTAGCTTTTCAAGAAACAGCTGTGGCACTAAGCAACCGCTCCTGAAGGTCTCAGCTTCCTTTTGCTTTCCCACGGCAGGCAAGGAAGAGAGGGAAAGGCAGAAAGTCTTTCAGCACACGCCGGCACAGAACTGACAACAGGAACAGCAGAGAGAACCACTTGCCGCCTTCTACGGTCCACAGGCTTCTCCTTTTCTGTACTGATACACGTAAAGAATCATAAAGGGGTTACAGCCACCTGCCGCCTAAGTCCTGGTCTCACAAAATAGCTAACTTTAGCACGCAAGAATGAAAAAACACCTTTAAGTAAAGGGATAGAACATTCCTACTACAGGAAAGAGTACATAAACCAAGGTGCCAATTCAGAACTTTGCACTCTCCTCAAAGTTTTTGATCTGAAGACAGGACTTAACACTTATTTATGTAACATGTTTTTTCAAAAAAATACTTACAAGTAAGAGCAAAGTACCTGCAAGCCCTAAGCCTTCTCCCTAAGCCTTGCTTCCAAAGGAGTAGGAAAGGGAGAACAGAGAAACCACCACAAAAACCTCAAATCCACTTTTTGCATAGGTTTATTTTGAGGTATGGAGTTGAATGTTTTGCTCCAACAAGCCATCATTACCAGCAAGAAAACAACATTTAGATTGGTGTTATCTTGCTGGTGCTGATTCCTAGTGTTGCTGCAGAAACAGATATAGTACTTCTCCTAACAGTAGCCACTGTTTTGAGACCCAAACAGCAAACCATCCCACACCAAGTCTGTCGGCTTTACTTACTGATGTATCAAAGCACCAGACTGCTTGTGATGAGCTCCTCTAGGGATGACATGACAATACTAATGGAAGTGGAAATACAGAGAATTACTCTTGTCATGACTTTGCAGTTGTCTGAAAACACATCATCAGCAACCTTCAGAGAGCCACTAAAGACTGCTCTAGATTTCCCTATCCATTTTTCAATACATATCATCTCAGCCCCATAACAAAGTTAGATTGAGCTCTGAGCTAGAGAAGATATATTTGTGTCGAAGATAGTAGAAACTAAGTTTACTCTGACATAGTTGTCCTACAAAATCATAGCAAGTCACAGATATCTCAGTCAGCAATTGACTGAAGCTTGGCATAAGTGTCCTTCTGGAAGATCTGTACTCAATCACCACTTTCAGTACAGTTTACAATTAAAAAAAAAAAAAAAAAATGCATTCAAAGCCATTGAATACGTTTAAATCTGCTGTACTAATTCACATGACCAGAGCCTGTCAGAGACTTCAGCTTACATAGACCCACACCTCACAAATAGAGTTCACCAGAGCTTTCAGAGAGCTAAAGGCAATAGTTCAGCTCCAAGTACCTCATTCAGAAGCATCCACTTGGTAACTTATGCTTAGATTTCCTCTTACTTTAACCTCAAATTTGTCTAGGAAGGAGCCACTCTGAGTTACAGTTCTCTTATTACACCGAGTACAAATGGCTATACTAAGGCTTAGAAGGAACATCTTAGCATTTCGTCAATAGCCTAGGTCCTGTAACAAACACTCTGTAAGATGAGAGGAGTTAAAGAGGAAAGAGTATCCCCGAGAAATGCACCTTTGGATGTACTTCCTTCTTTGCCTTAAAGAGGACCCTTGCGCTCTGCATACCCTCTGCATTCTTCTGTCTAAGAGGAATTCCAGCAGCACCAGAGACACTCCAGGCAGCCCCAGGAAACTGCTGCATCTCAAAGGCAAGGCAGAAGCTTTAAAAGGTTTAAAGCAACATCATGCAGTAAGATTTCAGCATTACCTAAAACAGAGTAAGTACTTAATTTATACAATGTTAAGCGCTGCATAGAAACCACACAAGTCATCCTTATATCATTTGGTATATGATAGCATATTACTTGTGAAGTCTTTGTCTATTTCCTTAAGAACTAAGTTGTTCTCAAAGGCAACAGGGAACAGTAGTAATATGACAAGTGCATTTAGCTTGTCAGAAAAAAACCAAAAGACAAAAAAACCCCACAAAAACCAAAACATACACCACACCACTCCCCACCCTCCCCAAACACCACATCATGTTTCTGTATGGACTCACTACGGCTTGTTACTAGACAGCAGGGTTTGCATTAACGCCATCAGTACAAGTATGAGTAGTCAGAGAAAAAGCAGCCCGGCTGTAAAGGGTTAACATCACGGGTTTTCCCAGGACAATCCCGAAGGCTCTTGCACAAAGTAAAAGGCTCTGCCCTGAGCTCACACGGGCTTTGAAAGGCTTTCCTGTAGGTGGAAGAAAGCTGTGCTGAGCGCAGGCTGCCGCCCGGCCCCTCCAGGCCCTGCTACATCTCTGCCGCCTGGACAAACAGAGGGACAAAAGCTAGATCATGGTTTCTTTTTATTTTAAGATGTCACTATTACCACACATTAGTCAAGCTCTCCTAAATAATCCCCTAGACACCTAGGGAATCTAAAATCCCCTAAGATTTTATTAGCTCAAGAGACCACCATTAGAAGCTTTTAGTGTTTCTGTAACAAAAGCCTAACAAGCTTTCACCTTGTCAGACTAATGTGCGCTTCAGTGACGATATCCATTTACAAATCAATAATACATCATACATCATCCCCAGATTTATCTCTGCAAAGTGCTAAATGGAGTCAATGAACCGTCTATTTACAATTTCAAATCCTAATATATTTACAATAGAAATCAAAAGTATTTAAAACCATTAAATATAGTGTTTAACTCTGCTATATTAGTTTACATGAACACAGCTTACCTCTGGCATCATATTTCCAATGCTAATATTTCTGCCAGTAATTTAAGATTTTTTTAAAAAAATTGCTATTCCTGGAGGAAAAAAATAAAAGCTTAAAAACCAACCCAAAACCTCCAGGCATTCCAGAGCCCTGAGGAATTACCCACTCTAGACAGTCTTCAGGTAGAAGTACTGCAGTGTTCAAGAGAGACTTTCAAACTCCAGGCAAGCCTTTAAAACCTAATGCGTATGTAAAACATTAAGAGTCAGTAATCCATTGAACAGGTTTACTGGAGTCACTGCTACTGTTCAGTTTTCACTAATCCGTACTCAAGAAGGAAACTGCTGCTGTGCTGTTTCTCCCTCCATTACATTCCCTCCACCCATAGAAAGTGTTTTGTGCACCATCGTCCAGCCAAGTTAAGTAGGCATCGTCTTCTCTTCTTTGCTGAAAGGCTGAACTGAGCCAGGCTTCACCCACGACAGGCCAGAAACATGTGTGCTTTTGCAGTGCTGATCTTCTGGCTTCTTCTAGGTAGAAGAAAGTTAAAGTCAGAATTATTAGATCCCTCCCCATCCATTCTACCTTTGGCAAATGCAAGCATAAAAAAGGCTAGCATCACTTCCTCTCCTCGAAGAGGAACAGTAAAAGGGCTATTGGTTTAATTTCTGGGAATGTGTGTGGCATCTGTAGAACCACCTTGACATTACAGCAGAGTTTTAATAACCTAGTACAGGTGCTGCTGCCCTATCACACCGTAAAGATTAGAAGATACTCTCGGAATAGCACCTTTTGCCTGGTGCTGTTGGCCGGCGCCCGTGGCCCAGCACCACTGTGCTCCTATTTGCCCATCTCTCCGTTCTCCAGGGAGAAGCATCAATCCAACTCAAGACACTTCTGTCACTAACCTGACGTTACAACAGTAGCATACTGCCTCAGGATGCTGGGCATCCTGCAGAGGAGTACTCCACCCCACTGAAGGCTTCGGAACTCAAATTAACATGGCAAAGTAGCAACTGATACCTTTGCTAAACCCTGGAGTTTCTTAATGCTTTCCAAGGATGGTTCTTTCCCTCCCTTCCCTGAGCATTTATCATGGTTAAATGCTTGAACAGTAACCATTCCTACCCAACACAATGTAACAAACATTTAAGACTGACTATTCCAATTTAGAAAGAAAAAAAAAAAAAAAAAACAAAAACACACACAACAAAAAGCTTAAAGTTGAGGGAGAAAGGTGCAACTTCAAGCATCTGTAGATTTAAAGTAGTTTAAGAGCAGTAAATTAGACACCCACTCTAGCAGGTCAAAGAAACAGAATAGCTTGCAGGTTTTTTTGCATACCAGGAACTAGTCCTGCCTCCACACTGCTATAGGCTCATCAGATCATCTGCATGCCAACTACATCAAACCTGCAACACATCAAGTTCTAGAAAGTGATAATTATGTGAGTAGACTGTGTCATCCTACAGGAAGCCTTTTGCATGACAAAGTAAATTAAGCCAGCAAGCAAACTGAACCTGCAGTTCTGTCCCTCCCCACATTCTGTGTAAATGCTGACGCTGCGTGACATAATTGCCATAACACATCAGACAACAGCAAAATCAGTCAAGCTTGAGCCTGGCAGAGTAGCACCTGCCTCTCACAGGCTGCACAGAGGGCACCATCTAGCAAAAGCCACATGCTCGGCAGGGAACAGGGACAGCACAGCCCTTCCTGGGCTACAGTTCTAGAATGACCTCACTGCTTCCCAAGGCACAGGAATTACACAGGTAATAAGCAAGGATTCAGGCAGAGGCAGGATTAGGGAGCTTCCTTTCACAGGGAAGGAAGAAAACATTCTCAGCTACAGTGGCATTTTGGAACAAATCTAAGGCACAGAAGTTGGGCCGTTCCTGCTATCAACAAACTACTCCAGCGACTAAAGTACCACACGTAATAACTACTGAAGATGTTAGTTTTCACTTAAAAAGAAATTAACATACACACCCAGGAAAAAAAAAAAAGGCAAAAAGTCATTTGCTACCAGTCTCTGAGACAAAATCATACCTCTTCCATTTCAAGCACCTCAACCTGTTCTTTCTCTTTAGGTCTTTGATTTAAAGAGTAAGAAAGAAGAAAGGAGGGAAAAAAAATATAAAGGAGTCAAAAGTATTTCTTACGTTTTTATAAGAACATCAGGAAGTTGGAATCTGATCACAATATTTTCCTGTGTGTTCTAAGGCTGGAGAAAGGCCACCTCACCTCAAGCCCTGATGTGACCGGCAGTTGGAAACATCGCTACACCGAGCTTACAGGCAGCGTATTGTAACAAGACCAATGTAAAAATCTCACTCATGCCAGAAGACAGGCAAGAACATGAGTTAAAGCTTGCAGTGGGGAAGACTGAAGTCTGGACTGACAAACAAACTTTTTTTTTAATTAGAAAAAAAGCAGCAAACCACATCACAGCTCTGGTGCAAGAAGCCCAAGACAGTAACTGAAATATTCCAAGTGCATTTGCTTGCCAGTCCAGCAAAGATACCAGCCACCATCTCAGAATCCCTAAGCACTGCAATTGGATTGATCTCTCCTGCCACTCAGTGCAGACTCAGAATTGCTGAGTGCCAGCTCTTGTCAAGTGCAAAGAAATAACTGGAAAAAACCCACAACCAAACAAAACAAAAAACAACAACAAAAAAAACCCACCAAACAAACACCCCCTCGCCCCCCAAAACCAAAAGTGTTGCTCAGGTAAAAGCTACGTGAACCAACACACTCTTGCTATATCAGTAAGAGTGCTTTGTGACAGAACTCTAAGCACCGTTCAATTAGCTGATGCTGTCATCTTAGAAACCAGTCGCATTAAAGATGTGAGCAAGGTACTCTACTTCTGCTGCTTTGAAAAGTTTGGAATGAGAAGAAAGCCCAGAAGGTTTGATTCAGTAATGAAAGATCTCTCAACAGAAAAGAACAAAGAAGTTGGGGACTGTCAAGTTATACAGGGGTGGCAACAGCCATGACAAACGCAGCACAAGCTAATAAGCAGTCACTAAATCTCTTCTTTCCCCTCCCTTCCACCCCTAAACAAAAATTCTACCAAGTGTGCCAACAATTGTACTAACAAAGCTTTCTATCTGGCTAAATGATTAATTGCTTAACACACTGAAGTTAGAACAGTGACATAAGCACTTAGTTAGGAGGCAGAATCAGTTTCGGCACGCCTGCTGATCCAGAAGAGGGTAGAATAAGGTCTCTCTAGTACACGTTCATCACAGAGAGAACCTTTCTATCCTTATCAACCAATAAGCCCTTACTATAGTGAAAATCTGGAATTTGCACATACCTTCTGAGTCAACATCTTCTCTCTGGCTTCATCATGTATAGCTGGATTCCATGGAGAAAAACTACGGAGAAAGTATAGTTATCTCTAACTTTGCATTTTTGCAACCTACAGCATAGACAGAGCAGAAAGCAGCAATTTTCCTTGGTTTGGTTTGTTAAATCTCAAGTAAACTACAAGTCTGAGTTTTCAGTGTTAAAACATACAGTTAAGAACTAAATTCACATTGTCGTGGACCTTATCAACAATAAAAATTTAATTTTTGTTTTTGTTTGCAATGAGAACTGACAAATCAGATGCTACATAAAATACTACTCTCATTATGGAGCTGACTGCTCTATCCCCCATGCAGTCATGCTTAGAGGTATTTTAAAATTATGACCAAAGCTACAGCCATGCAAACCGAGTCCAGGAAAGCCTGAAAGCAATATTTACTCCATGGGTAGTTCTACTTGAGGGAGATGAGGTATTTTAGAGCTTTGTTTATAAATTCTGGGATTTTGTTTATTTCTTTTAAGAAGTCTTTGTTGCTTAGTGAAAAAAATAGTAAACACAAGTGTCTGATTATATTTAAGTTTCACTCAACACTAATCAGAAGTAAATGAGGGTAGGAATATCCAAAGTATTGCTATAAATCTAAGAAAAAACAGGTCAGACAACTAGGCAGAGAAAGGTTTCACATCAACATCTACACCAAAACCTGTTCTCGAAGCATATGGTGAATTTGCTCATGGTACTTACATGATTGCATAGGGATCCTCTATTTTGGGCTGATCAAATAAATGACTGCTGCATAGTTTGACACTGTCCACCACCTTACTTTTGAACAGCTGAATATCTTTTTCATATCTATGGGAGAGAAGTAATGTTAAGTAATTGCGAGGCAGCACAGGTTTGCTCTAGAAGCACAGACTTGGCAAAGCCTCAACATTAGTTCCAAGTGCAACCAACTCTGCAGGTAGAGACCATGAACTGACACAATTTCACAAACATCTTGTTTCTGCAAGTCTATGCAAAAATCTCTTAAGAGACTATGCCTACACACATGGAAGATACTTACAGCACTGCAGCCTCAGGGTTCAGAGGACTAGTTGTATCAATCTTGTAGAAGACTCTGCGAGCATACATTAATACTTGCCATATGTGATTATGATTTCGCCTAAAAAGAACAAAACCCAATGAAGAAAGGAACAAACTTCTTTCAAATTATACATCAATATGTTACCACTAACCTCCATTTTGCAAATGCTCTTTTCACATCCAGTTCACCGGATAAAGGATCTACTAGCGGATGGAAGACAGGCAGATCAAAAACCAAGCGCTGCATTAGAAAAAAGAAATTCATTATGCCAACTTCGATCCTAATGTTAAAACCACTGGGTCAAGGTCAGCCAGCTGTTGCCTCTAAACACTAATTAAATGTTACTGTATTAAAAGCAAGCAACCTGAAGTGATTTATACCAATTGTAAAACTGTAACCCAACACACCCGCGTTACATGCAGGGTCTTGTCCTCTCTCACATACTTATCACCAAATCAGAAAACTAATCCAGCTAACTGCACAGCCACTAGTGCCAACACAGGTAATAATATCAGGTAAGATCAGATTAAAAGTGTTTTTCGGGTTTAGCTATTTGTGACTGAAAGCTTTTTACACACTTGAGCTACAATCAACACCTCTTTCATCCTACACACTTTTAAGTAAACTGTGCAGTGACACCACGGTGTCTTCAGTTCCGTACAGCTAGCTTCTCCCAGTGTTTGTACATTCTTGCAAAAGAAAACTTAGTTTCAACAAGAAGATTTTAAAGCCCTATGCTACCAAAAGAATGACAGCGGTGTCAGAGACACTAAATCCAATCTTTGGAAGAAACTGTTGCTTACTAGTTCTGTCCTTTTAAAAATGATAGCTTTACACACAACTTGACACCAAGCAGACAACTTCCTGCCAGAGCAATTTGTTCTCAGCTACTGCAGTTACATACACCTGTCTCCCAATCATCCTCCTAAAGAAATTTAGCCAAGAGGGCCGGCTGCTCTGCCCTGGAGAGTCAGATTGCCACAAGATTTATTTTTTTATTTGGCATAACAACTCGGATACTTTTTCTTAAAGAGAAAAAAAGGAATAGATGGAAGGTAACACCACACTGTCTATCTCCTTCTCCCTGTGTTTCACCAACATTCTCCTCAAGTTCTTTTAGTTCTTTGTTTCAGTGTAATTTAGGAGAGAGACAGGCAAGAAATCCTGTGCTACTACAGCGACACAGCACAGGTGCCTGGATTTTATGTTCCATTATATCACTACTCAGAATTTAAATACTTGTTCAAGGGTTTCAGTGTTAACTTTCTTGCAGAGGAAGTTGCAGATAAAGAGCTGAGGTAAAGAGCTTGTTGATTACTTAACACTTTAATGCATCTAAGCTCAGGACTTCCACTCTACACCAGCCTCAGTAATCAGAGCAACAGGATTCCTCCATAGATGTTAGGAAATATGTACAAGACATCACAAATGAGCCCAGCCAGCTGAACAAAACCAGTTCAAGGAAGTGAAAAAAATAATTGGTATACTACCTTTAACAAAAAGTCATACTTAAAACACCAGAAAACAAGAAAAACCCAAGACACACACAACCACTTACCGGGCAGTCTCCATCTGGGTAATTATCAGGAATATAGACAGTAAATTTAAACACACCATCCTGGTAGAGCCCATGTCTTATGAATATTACACCAAACCACACTGCAAGTGAGAAAGTTTGCTTGAGTGAAAGAACTTAAGAATACTTATATAAAAAAAAATTTTAAAAGTGAAGTTTAAACTTACTTAATGCTGATCGGTAAGATGGCTGCACATAGACACCTGGCAATTTCTGCTTTACAACCAAGGTACTGCAATTAAAATCAGCATTTAGAATAGCTCCACAACTACCCTAAAACTACAGCAAGCTGACAACAGTAAACCCAGAATGTACTATCAAGATCTTAACAGAGCACTTCGGCAAACTTGCACTCAATTCCCAAGTAGCAAATTGCTCACAGGAGGTGGCAGAAAACTAGTGAAACCATATTCTTTCACTCTTGCTTTTCCTACTCCTCCACCTAAAAAGTTATTAATAGAAAACATTACCTCTCGATAAAACTTAAGTAGAAATAAATTCTTCCCCCCGTAGCTGCATTTAATGCAAGCCAATACAAATCCCACTTTTCTCTTGAATCTCCAGTTTCAAAGTAACGAAGAAAAAATAAGAGATGCAATTAAGTAATTCTGAATGCAGATTTGCAGTCAACTGTAGTTAATTCTGAAAATTGACCAAACTTTAACTTCAATTTTTAAACAAGTAGTTTTTCAGTTTCAGACGATACTATGCTGCAGAGGTCAGATGGAAATTACACTGGCAACTGACAAAAAGTAACAGAGAATTAAAAGGTCCATCAAGAAGCAGGGTATATCAGAGATCAGGATCGAGTGATTCCAGGTATCTCATTAACAGGAGGGAACAAGTCATTTTCCCAAACTTGCACTTATTTGCTATTTCACTTCTTGGGCTGATAACCCAGTCACAAACTTCAGTCATCAAAGACCAGTGCATTATGAAAAGAGTTTCTATCTCTCCCCTTGCCTTTTAGGAAAGTCTTTTTGATAATCAACGGTACTACCAGGGCAAAATGTGCTATTTTTACTATTTTCCAAATCAATGAGTACATGAAGTTGCTAGTAAATTTAACCAGCTGTAGTTGTATGGTATGCATTATACTAACACTATAAAGAATAAACCAAATTATTCACTGCATAGGTTTTCCAGTTACTTGGCACATAGATCCATTAAATTGAATTCTGCATGCTTAAACAAATAAACAGCAATCTTAAAGGAAAATATTAATACAATTCTCTGCTTACAATTTCCATAATACTCATTATTATTTCCCCAATAATGAATTTGTTAAACTAGAGGCGTTTACATTATGATACCATAATATTTTTGCATGTTGCAGGAGAAAAACATCTTTCTTGAATTAAGAAGCCAGGGTCAGTTCCCTGAAAAAAAATAACCACCTAATGTTTTGAGAGTTCTCACTTTCAATGTAATAGTTAAATGTAAGAACTGAGACTTAGTGTTGCATAACGACTCCAGGGATTTCATTCCAAAATGCGCTACATACTTGAAAATCCAATATGTCTATTACGGAGGAAGTCCCTTCAGCTTTGTAGCACAAGGCAGTTTATGTAACTTCATATAACTAAGAAGTTTTGCAGACAAATAGGAGATTTGTATGCTCCCACAGCAGCCTACAAATCACTAGATTGGATCAAATGCAACTGATCCAAAGAAAGCTATCTAAAGTGCACTAACTCCTCCCTCATAAGTTTCATGTTAAATATCACTGATAGACAGGAGAGAATATAGTCTTCCTCATACCCACTCAGTAAGCTGTATCAGGTGGCTTCCAAGTGTTTCATGTAACAACTGAAGGAAGCTCCCACATCCTAACACCATTAGACGGTACCATACATTCATAACCATCTCCCCAGTAGACATCTGCTTGCTTCTATTTTAATGCTTGTTTCAAAAATTCGGTATTCTGACCAAAAATCTATTAGGATAACTGGTCAGGATGCCAAAACCCAAAATGTGTTTACTTCAAGATCGAGAAACGTAATAGTTTAGAGAATCACATCTAAACACACCCCTTAAAGTCTCATCTCCTTTTCCTCTCCCCTTCTACCTCAAGAGAGTAAGACTGCTTCTCCAGAAAAATAATTTTGTGGAACTTCAGTTTTACTGCCTTCTTCAAGGATTATGGCAGAGACACCATGCAAGAACTACACCCCTACATGTTCTTCTCCCACTGAAGCATAAGCCCAGTGACCTAAAAAAGACAAAAAAGTGAAAACCTACAATTCTGCAAGGAGGGAATACTCCAAATAAAAAGGCCCGTAAGAAGCATGTGTTCCATTTGTCGACTGGGATGATGTAGCAGGTGAAGCAGGCTTGGTTATTGGCACAGCATTCTTTGGAATAGAAGGCAACTGTTTCTTTGTAGATGCTCGTAGAGGACTAGTTCGCAGCTCTCCACTCAAAGTTTTCTCTTCAGCATCAGGTCTCTGTTAGATTAAAAGAGAAACACAAGATTACAGGCCGTATTTAATAAACATTTAACACAGACTTCATAAACATTTTAACACAGGCTTAAACCCAATCTTGCTAATTACAAGTTTGGCCAACGAAGCGTGTCTTGGATGTTGGTGTTCCATTGCTTGGGAGTGGTGCGTCTGGGATTTGCTTTTAAATAGACTTTTATTCAATCAAACCTAGCCTACAAGCACAGAAGTAATCAATGCTGGATGGGAAATCTGCAGATTAGGACAAATGCTTAAGGAGGCTTATATTTAGTTAGGAACTGGAACCAGATAGTATATACCATCAAGCTTAGAAGTCAATCTATTTCTAGTACACAGTGTGTCAAGATAAATTATTTCTACTGACAAGCCCTCTCGCATTCTAGACTTCAAAGTATCTTTAAAAGTAGCGTAGTAAATCTGAGATGAAATCAAAACTTTCTACAGAAAACATCAGGTATTTCCCTTTCTGCCTGTGCTTAAGACACCAACAGCTCACTTGGAACTGATCATATAGCCCATTCCCACACTGAGATAATCACCATTTGACACTGATAGCAAGTTTAAATAGTTTTGCTATAGCAATCTTTTAATGCCTATGCTGTCTTTGATCAAAGAAAAGAACAACCAAACAGAAAACCCCTTTCTACTTAACTGGTCACTGCTACACTGCTAGCAAACACCATACTATGTACAGACCTCAAAATCATTCTATAGATTGCCAAGGCAAAGCTGGAGGCTATAGACTTGTGATTAGGCTAGCTGTGGTGACTAAAGGCACCATTTAAGCTATAGTGTTTTGAAGCACTTGAGACTTGGACTAGTAACAATACCAATGTCACAAGCATCATCAAAGTTACATAATTTGCCCTAGCACAGAACACCCAAGAAGTGATTAACCCTAGAACTATCATGCTGTTATCACTGCTACAGTCTAAAGTAGCAATAGCACCACAGAGGCACAGTTTTGTCAGTGCTCACTGCATGTGCAATGCCTGGCTAAGCTCTATGTATGAAAGTAAACAAATGTCCTAAGAAACAAGTGTTTCAACCATTTGAACAAGCTTGTTTCATCTTTCCTACTCGAAGATGCTCTGGGTAAGAAAAGTCAACAAATTCTGGAGTAGACTCCATCCACAGGCACATTCCCGTTAACGCAGCTCAAAGCTAGCTTACATTTTTATTGCAGATGATCACAATCCTCAGGATAAAACACACATTTCAACTGTGTTTGTAGATAGTTTGATGGTCTTCTCCAGAACTGCTACCACCCCTCAATGCACATTAACACCTTAGAGCATCCATTCATCAAATACCTTGCGCACAGAACTTGTAGACATGCTCCAGAAAGGGTTCATAACGTGTATTCCAAATAAACGACTGCAACTTTTCAGTGTCTTCAGAGTATCCTCAGGTCCCTCTGGTTTATATCCTAAAAACACACAGAATGAGTATGCATTCTAACAGACAAACAGGATTCAATATGCAAACAGAATTCGGATCTACTTCTGCAGCTAGCTTTATATTTCTGTAACTTTAGAAGAAAACTTCTTGTAGTTAAAATTGAAAATAGTTAAAATTGCCAAAGCTCTATTACATATTAGACTCCAGGACAATAATACAGTTGTCTATGAAATCATTTTTGCACTTGTATCCTTGCCTTCTTTCTGCTAGAAAGACACTCTAGATTCTGCAATCCATGTTGTGTTGTGCCAACTGGAAAAAAAAGACCATCTGTTGGCTCTGCACAGTCAAGAAAGACAGATCCTCTACACATGCAAATATTAAGAAGTTTTCACTTCACCATTTCAGCCCAGCACCAGACAGTACTACAGTGGTTACTCTTGCAGCATGGTTAAGTGCTGTCCCTCGCATGCACTGCTGACTTTGCACATTTCTGAAGCACTCCAGTTTGAAAAAAATCTCTGTCATTCTCAGTGAAAGAGATGGTCCTCCTGTTGAGTCTGCATCATGTATGTGTCATTTGGTTTTCAACTGCACTGGAACACCACCAGGAATAGACAAAGCCACAAAACACAGAAGTTCTCTAGCTTATTTAGTGGTTGCACTATGAGCACCAAAGCTTAATGCTCATTATATCAGTGGCTCAGTAACATGGACTTCAGCAGTGTTTGGAATTTCAGTGTGTCATCCATCTACTGTATATTCTCTTGTTCCCCTCTTCCCCCCCCCCCCCCCTTTTTTTTTTCATTTTTAAAGTCTTGCTATTATTTGTGCAAGAACTCTCATCTACTTCCTCCTCTTTTTTTTTTTTTTTCCCTGCAGTTCTCATTTTCCTTCCTTTTCCATCCCATCTCCCTCTACATTAACTAAGGTTTGGAGGCAATGTACTCGATTTCTTTACTAGGAAGTTGTACAAGATTGACCAAGGCAATTCATAGGATTTAAGAGAAATAGAGAGAATGGTACAGGCTTCTGTTGTGATCAGCACCAAGTTTTTCTACCATAAGCAAGAGACCACCTGTTCAACCATTGTTTTGAGTAGTTTAGCAAGAAAATGGTAACATTAAGATCAAAAAATCTTCCTAAAAGGAAAATAAGTGCCAATCTTGTTAAAAGAAAAAAATAAGCCAGACAATTTATCCAAAGAAAGTCTAGCAATGGTAAGTTTTTAAAAGCAACACTGATACCAAATCATGGGTATTCTTCTAGACTATATAGCAGCCAAGTATTCAAAAGATGCAAGCAACATTCAGAAAAGTGATGAAAGTTAATTAATTTCTCCACCCCAAAAATCATCTCAAACCTTCACATTCCAGTACACGTGATTCCTCCAGGTATTTCCCCTCTTCAGCAGCCAGAAAGTCCCTCATTATTCTGAGCCACTGAAAACAGAAAGTCGAAGCACAGCTACTGTGCTGGGGCATGCCCTGTGATAACAGGGAGGAGATTTTCACCTTTCCCCATCTCCTGTCTGGAAAGCAGAGCCACACCAGAGGGCTACACCATGGGCTGTTTCTCTTCCAAGAAACCCAGCCAGACTAAGTAAAACAGCAAGGCACATTTTGTTTGTACCTTGTACCTAGGAAGGTACAAGATATTTCCTCAGGAAACTTCAGTGTAATCAGAGGGTGGAAGAACTGACACATAAAAAGAGCACCTGAGTGCTACAGCTGTGACGAGGGAAAAGTGTTGGCAGCTGTGGTACAGGCTGGAAGACAATTAGCTCAAATCTGGAATGATTACAGGGTTTGGGCCTTTCTTTCTTTGCTTGTTTTGGGCTGTTTTTTTTTTTTTAAGACTAGGTAATATAAATTGCATTATTCTAGAGAGTTGAGGAGGACAAACAATGATGTACGCACATAAAAAACAGCCTAACCTACTACCAGTGAAACAGGGAGCTGATCTAGAAGCTTGGTAACTGGTGCTAGACAGACTTCAGTCACTGACTCCACCTTTCCGAAAGCACCTGTGCGTCTCGGTACACCTCCAGCTTTGATGAAAAGCTTTTCATTATAGAGATGCCTATTTACAGGCTACTAAGAGCTTTTTATAACTCCAAATAAAACATTATTTTAGCTCTAGTTAAACTACAGAATAATTTCCAGAGAGTCTCCTGCACAGAGATCTTTTATCCAGTTGCTTGCCAATAATAAATCATGCATGGTGCTGTCTTAAACTTACTGTTAAATTGTCTCCAGTCTCATTCACCTGTTAAAATACTATTTCTGATAGAGAACTAATTACTTCAGAGTACCCGTTTCCCAGAGAAGGATCATTTAAAAAGCTCTTTCAAGGCATTCAAGTTTGTTTATTTCTAATCACACCCGCTCCTTCTAGCTATGCTACACATAAGTGGACAACATTATCAGTACAGGAAACATCTGCAACAGCTTATGCTCTCTAGTGACTTCACCTCACAATTTATAACCCCACAGTAATCGCAATAATTAAAAAAAATCAAGCAACAGCACATTTAAGTTAGACTATTTCCTACTTGTTACTAAGGCAAAGGCCTGCAGCAGACAAGAAGAGCCAAGTCACGATATCATTAAGTGGAATTTCTAGGCAGTTTAGTCACCCTATCTTACACAGGGCTCCAGTGTCTACTACAAGGTACCTGCCATGACAGCATCTGACAGTGCTGTAACTACTGAAGCCATCAGCTTCCCAAAAAACCCAACAGACTCTCCTCATTTTATGAACGGGGAGTAAATATATTCCAAATCATCACCCTGTTTCTTTCTGCACTGTCATCATTCACAGTGCCTCATCTAAGAAAAGACTTAATAGTGTGCTGCTCAGTAGTACATTCTATTATTTTCTACTACTTCAAAAATTAAAAGCAACAGCAACCCTCCTAAGCAGTCCTCCTCCCATGGGCTTTTTATAGGTATCTTTTTCTTTAGTACAACAGCAATTAAAAAAAGACATAACACAGACTTGGGAAGAAGCATTCTTTCAAATGTTGGTTCTTAGAAAGGCCTCCTAACTCCCCTGCAGCACTAAGGCCCTGTCACACCTGGGCCGAGAAAGGCCCCTCCTGCCGAGCACAACCCGACCCTGCTGATCACCAGCACTGGGGTACACATGACACCAGAGCAGACAGAGCAAGGGTCAACTCATGTAGTACTTAACCATTACCCTAAAATATTTCAAAAAACAAAGTTATCGCTAATGAAAACCAAAGTTTTAAGTGCTTTGCTTTTCACCTCTTCCTTCTCTATGCTAGGTACTGTCATTAAAAACTACTTCTATCAGTTATACCTACTGTCAAATGACGTGTCATATTCTTCCCCTATCATCAGCTGTGTTATTAGATTAAATATGACACTAAGCCAATTTAACAAAAACGTCATCTGCCTGGAACAGAGCAGTTCTTTAAATACCTTCTGGAAAAAAAGATTCCTCAAGAAGTACAAAAATGAATGTATAGACAAACATATAATATAAATTTTTGCATATATGCTTTTATGCATTTTATTTCCTACCCAAAAGGGGGCAGAACCACTCTTACAGTCGAGAATAAACAGAGTGGATTAGGCAGATAACTAGAGAACAATACATGTTGATCACAACACTATTACATGCTTGTTCAGCAGCTGTAACTGTCAGTTTACACCACAACTTATTTCTCCTCAGCGCACCTACTCCTGATCCTCTTAGGACCCAAGGACCTCCCTGGCCCACACCTCAACCTACTGGACAGCCCAGGAGCCGCTGCCGGGTGCCGGCAGTGAACAAGAACGCTGACCGGTCAAGCCTGTTTGCCAGCCCCTCCTCCACAGGTGGATCACACCTTCATACCGACACCTGCTGCTACGACTTCAGTACTCTAGCACACTCCTCAAGAAAATCATGATCTATGCCAGCGGCACCAGCTCTTATACAACACCTAACAGTTGAACAGACGAGGAGATGCCCTGCCAAGTTTCACGGGACAGCTGGGTTTCCCGAGGGGACTATCAACTGGAAAATTGCTGGGTCACAGGGGGAAAAAATAAAAACCCACAGTTCTGCCAAGTCCCGCGAGCTGAGCGGGGCGAAGCCTCTGCTGTCCGCCCCGGCGGCATTTCGCGGCGAGGCCGCGGAGGGAGCCCCGGCGCCCGCGCCCGCCGCGCCGTGCCGCCAGGGCGGGCGGCGCCAGGCCGTTCCCCCCGCGAGAAACGGGGCGGGCGGCCGCTCCGCACGGGGCGGGCGGGCCGGGCCGGCCCCTCCCGGCGAGCGGTGAGGCCCCCGCGGGGCGCGACCAGGGCTGCCCACCGCGCCGGCAGGGACCGCACTCACTCACTCACGCACTCACCGCCGCCGAGGCTCCCGCCGCTCCGCTACAGGCGCGGCCCAGGCCCCGCCAGCCGCCGCCGCCGCCCGCCCCTACGCCCGCCGCTGCCCCATTTACAGCCCGCCTCTCACAGCGCACATCCGGACCCAGCCTTCCTCTCGACCAATCGCCGCCCGGCTCTTCCGGGTAGGCTTCGCGGGGCGGGGCAGCAGGGACTGAGCCAGCCAATCGCAGCCCCCGCCTTGGCCGTGGGTCGGTGAGGCCACCTCCTCTCCTGTCACGGTGCGGGGCGGGCGGGCGCGGAGGTTCCGCCCTGGGGACGGGGATTGGCCCGAGTGACTGTCCGTCGCGGATAGGGCGGGCCAATTGGGGCGGTGGTGACGCACCTGTCACACTCCGAGCAGGAAGAAAAGCCTTGGGGCTGGACCTTAGAAAAACGAGCCGCTCCCATTGGCCGGCCGTGGGAGCGGGGAGACGCGCCATTGGATCGAGGCGCGTGTGGGGGGCGTGGCCTGAGGGCGGGGCTGCCGCCGAGCCGCGGCCGCCGGTCCGTCAGTGTCCGCCTGTCCGCGCGTGGGGTGCCCCCACGGGGCCCGGACGGCCCGTGGCGGAAGGCGGGGAGCAGCGTGCGGGGGGGAGCCGGGGGGCTCCCCACACCCCCGGGGCTGTGAACCTGCCGCGGGCGGCGGGCGCGGGCGCAGCGGTCGGGGGCTCGGGCCGCTCGCTTCAGCCGGCTGCGGGACCCCGACGATCCACACAACACAGCTGAGGTGGATTTTTGCCTTATCTGAGCCAGAAACACCGACCGGCTTCCGCCATTATCACGGAGCACGTAGGCATACATACACGCACACTGAGTGTTAATGTGTGCTTACCTATACATATATAGGCATACAAAATTTAGCTCTAAAAAGCTGCTGAAGAGAAGTAGCAAAATAAGAACAAATCTGAAGTTAGTTTGTATTTGTCGTTGGTCTTTTTTCTGAGCCCAGTAGAACAATTACAAAAGTGCTACACCAAAACTGAAGTAATTTGTCAAGATTTGGAAGATGACAACAAAATCCATGCTATCTCAAGTATAAAAATTACAGGTAAAATTAAAAATCGATGAATACAGGGTGGATTTTCTTTGTTCCTAAGCTATGAACAAAAATACCACGCTAAGGTTATCACTTTGTCTCAGTTATTGTAACCTTCTCCTATCTTCCTGTCCTCAAAATGCCCCTTTAAAATCTTCAGTCAGTTAGGAACGTTACTATACTGGCCAAACCACCGTCTCTGTTTCTAAAACCCTTTTGCAATTTCCTTTCCTTCAGTGTTTCAAACACAAGCTCTTTGTCCACACCTCTGAAGTGCTGTACAACTTCCAGTTAGGTTCCTATCCTAAATTATCTACCTCCCACTGCTACATGCTACAGTACCCTGTTACCTCCTTTTCTTTCTTAATCTCTTTGCTGCCATATATATTTGTTTCTTTTTTCTGCTCCAAATCTTTTATCACCATCTCTCTTTTGAAGGTTAAATTTCCAGAAATCTTTTTTACATGGTTGCCTTCATCAGTGGGCTGCTCAGACCTAACCATTCCTCAAAGTGTCTTGCATGTATTTGGTCCTGATCTTGTTAAGGAGTGTAAAACACTCATTAAATGCTCATTTACATGTTATGCATATATCATAGAGCTATATTGCAAAAGTCTACAGCTTGAACAACATCAAATGACTCTACATGTTCAAGATGTTGCAAAACTATATCACAGTCATAATGTGCATAATATTTTAACTTTGACAGCAAGGATTGAGAGGAATACTTTATCAAGCCATTGAACGTAAGATTGTTAATCTTCCAAACTCCACTACAGTCCAAAGTTTCCTATTTTGCCAACTACAGAAACACTTTGACAAGAAAGAAACTAATTTTTGTCTAATACATTTTCTTAAATGCTTTCTCCTGAACCAGTGATGAGGAAAACCCTTTTTCTATGCTTTTTTTTTTACTAGAACCATTAACGTACAGGTCACCAACAGCTTCATTTGTGTGAAGCCAGAAGCAGCACCTGTTTGCAGTCTGGATGCAAGGTCATCACTTCAAACAGCATCTCAAAGGATACTAAATGTTTTCCTAAAAATATCAAATCCCTCTGGTTTAGGTCCCTGGAATTGTTGCACTGTTTTGTCCTGTGTTTGACCAAGTGACAAAGTCTGAAAACATGGCTTTCAATAAAACACCATAGTAAATCTTGTGGTGTGCACATAAACCTCACTTAGCTGTACTGATTGTACAACTTCAGCGTAATAAAATTTATTCCCTCTTTTGCTTCTGAAACCCAAAGCCCATCCGGATAGACGTCCTCAGGTAAGCTTTACATATCAGGAAAGTTAAGCGAATACATAGTTCAACTGATGGTAAATCAGTAACACCAGAGTAACTGAACTTAAATATAGTGACTTTGAAGGGGAAGGTGGGAAGTCAACCTGCAAGCTGACCTAAAATATAGAAGCCTCAAGAAATTCTGTGCTACACTAGATTCCCTTCTTAGTCACACCAGACCTGAATGAATTCTACTTAACAAAATCTTTGTAATTTGACCAGTGTAAGAGAATAATCTGGCCTACAATGCTTTTTGTGTCACGCTTACCTTATGAAAAGTGTCTTTCCTTGTGGCTTGGTACCTGTGGAAAATTTTACAAGATGAATGCAAGTCCAAATACCATTTAGATACTTTTTTTCCTAAATTTGGATACTTTGTTTCACCCAGAAGCATAAATACAGAAAGGAATTTAATTCAAAACAAAGTTTTTTAGGCTAGCACGGGGGAAAAAGCGTTGGCCGAGATTCTTCACGATAGGTGTGTTTGCACGGCAAGCCCGTACGTACTCACAACCCAAAGGCCGAGGCTGCCGGGCAGCTCCCTGTGCCGCCGCGGAACGAGGGCGGCGGCGCTCAGGGATGGCTCGGCTGTTCCGCCTGCGAGGCCTGGGGGCGGGGGGCGTTGGGGGGGGGCGGGCGTTAGAGCCGGGGGGGGCGTTAGAGCCGGGGGGGGCGTTAGAGCCGGGGGGGGCGTTAGAGCCGGGGGGCGCCCGGGAGCGCTCTGCGCCGCCAGGGGGCGCTCTGCGGCTGCCGCAGCCGCGGGCCGGAAATGGGCAGAGCCGGGGCGGGGGGGGAGGGGGGTGTGTGTGTGTCTGTCTGTCTGTGCCACGGGCAGGGGCGGGCCGGGGCGTGGGTGGGTGTGTGTGGGCGCGCTCCGGTCCCGCTGGAGTCCCCCGGAGGCCTGGAGGGAGACCAGTAACAGAATTTTGAGAACTGAGCTGTGTACCTGCGCTTACCCGGTAACTGTCGGTATGAACATGACTTTCTCGCTCCAATAATGCAAAGGTGAAAGATGGTATTTTCTCCTCTCCAACGCTAAAAAGCAGAATTACAAACATGGTTAAAAACCTGAACTCCTGCACATCTTTCAAGTGCAATTCCTTTGTGATTTGTGTACTAGAAAAACATCCTATCAACACTTTATAGAACAGTCTAAGCAAAATAAAAGCAGTCAAGCAGCCAATTTAAATATGTATATATATATATATATATATATTTACCCTTGTGAAAATGGTGTGCTGTCTGATGCAGGGAGTATTTAAAATTTCTCCATGCTGGTCTGTATTTGCATAATTACTGAATGGTGAGTGTGAAATTGCTGAGAGCAGGACATACCCTTTCAGTTAACTGAGAGAGAAATTACCAGATCTCTCAAATATGTTGATAAACATACAGGAATATTTTTAAATGGGTGCTTTCATTTTAAATACATCTACAAATCAGTGAACGGAAGGAGGTTGTTTCACAGTGCACAACAGAAGTTGTCCATAAGGAGGAATACATCATGTCACAGTTCTCTCATCATTCCAAAGAAGATTAGCACAAACAATATCTGAGTAAACCAGAATGGATATTTTCTGGTAAGGCTGGAGCTATTGAATGTCTCTGGCCCTTCTTGCCAGGTAATGCCTGGTCTCTGACACAGAAGTATTTGATATGGGAAGGCCTCCCTGAAACTTATTACCCTAAATGCTAGTTCCCACACAGACCTTCCTAGCTTGGCAGAAAATGCTGCCCAGAGCAGTGGCTCCATAAGGCGTGCCGGGGTGTGGGTCTCTTGAGCTCCTTTGGCACACTGCTCCGTTTGGGTTTGAAAGTAAGCACCGTTTTTCTCAGTTTCACCCAGATTTACCTTAGTGCAAGAGAAGCCTGTTAACAAAGTATAAGAAAGAAAGATCAAAATTAGTAAATAATAATTAGAAGTTCAGGGGGTTGGGTAATAAGACTGGAAACAAACAGAACTCAAATACAAACAAACCCCCCTTATAGCTTAAACTTAACAGTGTGATATTTGTCCAGTTTCTTAAACCCAAGGATAAGCTTGGAAAGCTTTCTTATAGCACTGTCAGTTAAAGATGTCGCATTTATTTCTCCTACTGTTTTTATTACAATTAAATTGCTAGAATGGATGTAGCTATAGATGCACCAACATAAAAATGCTTCACTGGGGAAGGGATAAAACAAAGCAGCACTAACTGCAACATCAAAATTTGTTATCTAGTTCTTAGGGTATAATTGCAGGATCTACTGTTGGTCTCTGCTCAGTCAGCAGCAAACTCACTATTAAAACAGAGGGGCAAAAATATTTATCCCCCCATAGCAAGCTTCCTTCCTACCTAGACTCACTTCATATAAAAAATAATGCATACGTATATAATATTCGGACACTTTTATATTTGCGTGGCTGTCAACGTATTTAACAACATGAGAGACTGGCTGTACTAATGGTTCCTGAATAGCAGAAGCTACCAATGACTAAAGATTGTGTCATAGCCTTTAAACTACACTTTCTTCCTTATGTCTCACATTGGAGAAAAACTACAATAAACAGTTAAATCTGAATGTATTTCAGATTCCTTCCTTTGTGAGCTAGAAACCTTAGTTATTTTGAGTCCAACTGTGCAGAATTCAGAACCATGAAACTTCTAAAACTGACTTGCAGTACTTTTTTTCCTTTTTATTTGCTTACCTAGCAGCTCTTATTTGAATGGTGAGAATTATAG